GATTAGCTTGTACTTGACTTTATTTACATCTAAGCAATTTGAAATTATTATCCAAGCCATTTTTATAAACTTATAATGATTCATACATAAGTACACAAAATTCTGCTATAGCAAAATAAGAAATCTGCATACTTAATTTTTGTTTTCAGAAGAAAACTGTTAGATAAAAAATTGTCGTTGCGTTAAAATTCGTTTCATAAAATTTTGACAATAAATATTTTTAAAATATTCATTAGTTTAATTTATCTTTTTATTACGTAAAGTAGAAGGAAAAAAGATGGGCAAATAGAATTAAATAGATCTAATAGTTTTACTATAAATAATAATTTAATAAATATATTTTATAAATATGTATAGGAAGCAAAACAAAAAATTGATGAAACGAAGTACTGTACTATTCAAAAAAGTATTTTCTTTTTAATACAATAAAAGTGAGGAAAAAAGTTGTTAATTAATCATTGTTTGATTTAGACTAATTAGAAAAGTTAAAACAATATAATCATTAAGGTAGAAAACACTATAATCTCATTAAGGTAGCTTTTCTGTCAACTTCTGTTATTTATCAAAAACTTCTGTCATTCTTCTGTCATTCCTTTTTTTGTTGTTTAGCTAATTTTTACGGCGAATCTTGAACTTCTGTCAAGAATTGAAAAATGCAACTAAAGCGCAAACGTAGAATAAGAGCGGTAAGAATTCACAAATTGTATCATTCAAACGAACAGTCTATTTATTCTACTCCTTACAATCGATATGTTTCAATATCTAAAACCTTTTATTAACTTCAATCGTTTTAGTTATAATATTCTGTTGATTATTTTTAATCTAAAAATCTGTCCATTATATCTTGTAACTTTTTTCACTCCAAAAAATAATTCATAATTACCTCAAAAAATGTTATGATCAGGAGCTATTGTTTAGCTAATTTTTACGGCTGATTAGCTAAACAACAGCTTCTGATCATGAGGTAATTATGAAGTTATTAGTAAAAAGAAATAAAACAAGTGGACGGACCTTGATAATGAAGCGTTTAGGCAACAGATGCGAATTTAATAACACAAGATGGAAGATATAGAATAGAATGTAACTGGAAAAGAAAGAAGCACACTTCGATAATTCATTCAATTACTTTAAAACGTTTTTAAATTTAGATCTAATTGAACTTCCTAAAAATTCCAGTTTTCCATCAATGCCTCCCCGATTTGCTCCATGCTGATCGCAAAATTATAGATACTTTTGGAGCTGAAATGGATTATGTGAGGGAATGAATAAAGACCAAAAGGGTACCTGGTGATTATTATAGATAACAACTAAAACGCTGCTTTCATTTCTCTCAATCTTCACATATTATTCTTCATTGGTGACAGTGTACTCCTATTCTCTAAATATATGAGACGGGCGATTTGCATAGTAGCGATATTTCGTTTATGCGGGACTTGTGACAGTTTTATGGGAGCTCTTCATAGTAGCCAGTAGAAATGAAAGAACAGAGGTTCGTGGTGTGGACTATGAGAAATGTAGCGGAGGAGATAGAGAATAAATAGTGCAAAATAGAATTATCTTAGCTGATGGTCACATCTCACTTTATGGTCACATCTCAAAACTTGGGCCATCTGAAACTCATACCGCGAACCTCCGTTCTCTCACTTCTCGTTACTATATCAGGTGACTCTCCTTCGTCATTTCTCAGCAAACTATTCATAAATAAATGATAAATGAAGTAGTAGTTTCTTCGTTTTCACTGCTTTTTTAGGTTAATGCAGTGAATGGACTAATGACTTCAGGCGCTCTCTCTGGTTATTCCATGTATCATTTACAGCTTTTTTTGGTAAGCTTTCTTATGAGAATATCATGCAACCAAAATTGCTTTGAAAGTAACTGTTGGAATTGACCAATATGTGTTCATCGTGAGATAGTATTTTAATAGCATTATAATATCAGCCATGGGAAGATCATAAATTTAAGTTACTTTATCAGTCCTGATTGTATACAGATATGTTACTTAACTATGGTTTTGCCATGTACCATATGCGATCATGGGTGCTAAGAAACTTTTCGATTTTGCGGGAATTTACTGCAGCATACTGAGAGGAAGGACTGCAATATACTGAGGGAAAGGATAATTTAATTGATGCTAATAAATTATACCAGAAATAATTCGTTTCATTTCAACTATTTACCTTTTCTTTTTATTGCCACAAGTCGAATTTGCAGCAAAATTTTCAAAAATTAGTGCTTCAAACTATAGATCTCAAGAATAATAGACATATTCTTTCGTCTGTTACGATATCTTTCCAGTAAGTAATTCATTGCAGGTTGTGATGGTTCAATTCGTTTATAGTGAATTAAATCGCCAAATCTGTCAGGAACGTGGATTCAACAGTGAATCACTGGAGTGTTCAAGTTGTGCAGACTTGCCACAATTTCATCTAGATGAACTTGTTGCTGACTGTAATTCGTGTTGTAGGAAAGATTATGTAGAAACGAAACAAGTACATAATTTTCGTTTAGTTTAACTCTATAAGAAATCGGCTGAAAGCTATGGAATCTTTTTTCTGGTTATAATAAAAATATAAATCGATGTAATGATGTCCTTTACTATAATGCGTACTAAGCTTGAAATTATTTTAGAAATATCCATTGGCTCATATCGAAATTTGTGAATGTAACTTAGGACGATTCCCGCAGGCGGAAGGTTGGTGAAGTTCGCGTTAAATGAGTAGCCCGAATAACTTTTTGAACTGAAGCTTTTTATTGATGCAGTAATATTTCATCAGATTGAATCATAGTATTTAGATGTTAAGTGGTTGTATTCATTAAATGCCTGATATATGGTGATATGTGTAAAGTATTTCAGCATTCGTCAAGTCCAGTATGGTAAAGAAGTGGGGAACTTGTGTAAAAGTTCATCATGTCCGAGGAACATTGCCGACAATTAAGTTATTGGATGCGCAAGGAGAGGTGCAGAAAATCATGAATATCGAGAAATGGGATACCGACACAATTACGGAATTTCTAAATACGTGGCTGGAGTGTTAGTGATCTACCACCGGATGTTTCCTAATTTTATTCGCTTTTAACATTACAGTTTTTTTTATTGCTCAAAGTATTTCTTTAAGATTAAAGATATTCTAGGCCTCGTTTAAATTCTCTGGTACATTTATGTGCTTTTGTACCCTTAACAATCAACAAACGACTCAAGAAAATTAGACGGATTCAGAAAGAGCAGTAAGTGCTTAGAACAGAATAGTGGAGGCCGAAAGAAACACATTGCATGGCATCTTATAGAATAATAAAGATTTAGATACTTTGAAATTGAAACATTCTTCTCTGTTTCCTTTTTTCAAATTCAAATTCAAATTTTTCAAATTACTTGGAGTCAAATTCAAGTATCCGAAGACAAAAAAATATTTTATGTTTAGTTCAACTTCGTTTAACTTATACACTCTGCTTTTCTTGTTTTAGTCTTCTGCTGAGTGGTGAAATTCACATTTTCACCTTTGATAAACAATTGTCGACAGTGCCAATGAAAATATTTCACAAATTTATACTTTGTCACATGTAAAAACAGAAAAGCCCTCCAGCGACCACATTTTGATTCCAGAAAAGATTTACAAGACTCCTAAGGACAAATGAACGAGATTTCTTTACATTACGGTTTTTGCATAATAGCAACAATTAATTTACTTGATGATCTCTGGTTCAAGCGACAATTAAATCTCTTATATTTTAAAATAATCCGTTGACCTGTCAGTCACTATGTCACGTCGTTATCATTATGACATTCGGCGATACTTGGCTGATAACTCAACGAGGACTTTCCAATATACTGTGGAAAAACTAAACAAAAGTAAATCATTTACGTCTTGATTTCATATATTCTTTTACTTCTACAGGAAAAAAATTGAACATTAATAAATTGATAGTCAAATTAAACAACATAATTCTAATGATGTTTACCAATTTATTCATCAGGAAAAAGTTCAATATTAATATATAAAAAAAAGAATTTATTACGAAAAACAAGAATCTTTTCTAATAATGTAAACAATTCGTTTGATAGGTCCGAACATTTGTTTAAAGTTTATTAGTGGCAGCCAAAGCATCCATGGAATTATGTTCGCAGTATTTCAGGTTTGGTACCATTAGACATTGTAACCAGCTCTTCTGCACTTGTTGGGTGGATAGCTACTGTATTATCAAAATCCTTCTTCGTTGCACCCATCTTAAAAATCCTTTGTATTTCAAAAAGGTTACTTTTCGGTTTTCAACAATTCGAAGTATAACTCACTTTGATGGCAACGGCAAAACCCTGCAGCATTTCGTCACATCCCTCGCCAAGCATATGTAAACCCACAACCTATAAATAGTATTCGCACAAGTCCTTTGGAGTTTTCTTTCGAAGCTCGGAAATTAATACTTGAAAGAAAGAAGATACTCATACAAGACATTATCCTAGCTGCACACTAAAGATACATTACATTTACCCGTTCGTTTTTACCAGCACAAATCAATTTCATCACTGTTGGTTCTTTGCGCTGAGTAACAGCATGATACATGGAATTGAATTTCGTTTTGTAAATTGTAAGATTGTTTTCCCCGTATCGACCGATAGCTTGCGCTAAAATCAGAATTTAGCAAATCACATAATTCAAATAAAAAAAATGAAGATAAAAACAAATTAAAATAATAAACAAAAATGAATTCCGCTACAGGAATTTAATTCTGGTAATTTTTTTGTTTCAAAGATTATAGATAAAAAATAACGATCTTTACCCTCTGTAAGCCCAATCGTTCCTAGTGGCGGATGACTAAATACAACGCTCGGAATATTTTCATAATCCAAACGAATGTTTGCTTCGTTGTTAAATAATCTGCGGGCAAGACGTCGGCCAGCAGCAATCGCGACTGAAGACTTGATTAAAATTATTAACTGGTATGGATTTATCGAAATAAAACAACTATTTTCCGAACTGTAAATAATCCCTTCAAACTTTTCAACAAATTATGATGTTTAGGGAAAGAAAAAGTAGCATGTCCCTCATCACTGATAGGTAAAAAAATTTAATGTATTTCAATGCTTATTGCAAGACAAAGCCTGACGCACATCATTTTTCAAGCGCTTGTCACTAAAGTAAAAACTGATTCAGCGAATGACCTGGTGTTAGCAATGCTTTTCCACAGCAGTCTCCCACTGCATATATATTTTTGATCGATGTGTTCTGATATTCATCCACAATCACATTGCCGTTTCTATCCGTTTTTACACCCTATAAAATACTTTTACTTCTGAGAACTTTATTTTGAGATTATGAAAACTTCAGTATGAAATAAAATTACGAACTATATAATCCAGGTTTAAACCGCGTGTTGCAGGGCTGCGGCCAACTGCCCAGATTAAACTGTTTACTTCATTAATGGTACCATTCGTTGTACTAACGGTGAGTAATCCGTCAGGCTTCCTTTCCACTGATTTCACCTGGAATGATACATACTATAAGCAGAGTTTTATGAATGCAGTGTTAATATTATAACAAAGAGTCCTACAAAATGTAAAGAAACAACTGTAGACAAAGAAATATTAATATTAATATTAATATGGATTAAACCGCTCACCACCTTAATAAAACCCTCTTAAATGTATTGCTCGGGTCAGTCTACTTGATTTCACTAAGAACGAATTAGATATGCGAACAAAACTGTTTCCTCCTCTTATCACCAACTCATTTCACCGCTGTATATTCATGTTAGAGACACTAGCTCACTAAGCTGAAATTGAGATACCTCTGAGATGTGCCAGACATCCTGCGAATACTGTCCAGTCCTTGTTAACATGCGAAATGAAAAATTTTTGTGGCAAGCAATATTGATAGTATATTATTATTTAGTGTATAAATCGAATATGATAGAAAAGAGCTTACTTCCGTATTTGTATGAAGTTCCGTTGGTCCCTTATTAATAGATTCCGTCAAACATTCAGACAGTGTATGATCAAAATTCCACAAAACTCTTGGTTTTCGTATCAACAAATGGACATTAGATCCCAACGCTGATAACATTGATGATAATTCAACCGCTATATAACCACCTCCCACTACTACCGTACGTCTGAAATAAAATTTCTGCAAAGTCGAAAACTAATTTATGATTATATTAGTAATAACATGTAACAAAGAATAAGTCTTCATCTTCACAATGAAGTGAAAAGAAATATTTTCTTCAAAAATTCACTTGGGTAAAGTATCAAGATGGAAGAAGCCATCGCTATTGATGCCATATTCTGCTCCCGGAATGTCAGGCCTTTTTGGATATCTGCAATCGCATAACAGAAAAATGTGATAACATTTCACACCAAAGTTGTAGCCTCCAAATAAAATATTCCAAGAAGAATGTTTAACATGCACTTACCCACCAACTGCTATCAATATGTGTTTTCCGAAATACTTTTTGCCATTAACATCAACAACACCATCATTCGTAAACGATGCTTTTCCTCGAATCAATTCGACTCCTGACTAAAATAAATGTACAATTAAAGAAATAAAGATTAAATTGCGAGCAATAACTGAAATCAGTGTAGCATAACAAATGGAACCTGACAATGTTTGTAGCAAACATAGCGAAAGATTATCAATTAAAAAATTGATAACAAATAATTCAATCTAGTGTTCTGTGTTACAAAATTTGTATTATTTATAAAGTTGTATTATTGTCGTAAATTGTTGTATAACTTTATGTGTATAAAATATGTGTAGAAATATGAAATGAATCTTATGCATGCATAACATTTCAAATATTAAAGAAAAATGACTGCTTGCAAAGCGTTTCAACATATAAATTGAGATATCTAGTAATAAATTAATGAGACAAAGCAAGGAGATGAAAATTTTCAACAATGCAACTTCATTTCTGCATTAAATTGTTCTTTATTTGTTGATATAATAAAACACTTCATATGATTAAAATTTTTAGTGGTTAGAAATAAAATTTTGAAAAAAGGAAATGCAAGAAAAGAAGTGAGTAACTAACATTTGATAAGTTTGATTCGTATATTGCATTTAAACGTTTGACATATGCATCACGACTATTCTTTATTTTTCTAAACGAATATGTAATTTTCAATGCATAATTTTCTTTTTTAGAAGAAAACACATTAGACATAAAAAATAAGCAAATTCACTGAGTAGTCTAAACACTTCTAGACCAGTGCTAACTGAGTTTACGATCTTTAGAAATGACAAGTTAAAAAAATTATTTCAGTAACTTGTGACCACTTCATGAGTTAGTATCTAATGTTTAAACTTTAAGAGCTAGATCGAAAGCATTAAATCAAAACAGTTACCAAGCAATTATTTCTCCACAAATGCATTATTGATCAGTCATTAGTGTATTGGAATTGCGAAGCGATAAATCATTAAAATTTTACTCATTTTTCTAGAGAATTCTTTGCAAATATTTTAATTTTGATCAAGTAAGCAAATCTCAATATTTGAGATACCAATGATGAGATGATAAAGTTCATTTGTTCTACTTTTTTAAGAGTCATTTAAACAAGAATAGCAAATTACTACTTCCAATTGAATCCGTTCAGTGTTACATCAAAGCCATAATCTGAATAATCAGCGATTGCTTCTGCATGACGAGAACAATTATACATGACTTTCTTTGGTACACATCCCTTATTTACCTGTAAAAATAGTCACAAAAAACTCCAAAAAAAAAACAAACAAACAACTTTAATCCTTCTAAATAACTGAAATTAAAACACTTTTGATCCTTCCTTTAAAATTAGCCAAAACTAACGCATGTACCACCGAGATATGTTTCTTCAATCAATCCTACAGATGCATTGAATTCAGCAGCTCGTCGAGCACTTGCAATACCTCCAGAACCACCGCCAATTACCAAATAATCATATATTTTTACCGAATTATCACCGCTCATTGCACGTTTGCTACTACTGGAAATTTGTTTGAAATATCGAATTTACAAAAACAAATCAATAAGCAAACGAAATTTCATATTAATGAAATGACTTCAGTTAACAATGTACTAATGAAGTTAAATAAGTACTGATATTAATGTGATACACATGAAATAACAGTCGTATTCCAAATGCTCCTTACGATATATTAATAAATTTCTTGTGATTCAAAGGAACTGATGCATGCAATTCTTGTATGGCAGTTCCTGTAGAACCACTTGAGTGGAACGAATAAGCAAACCGACGGAGATAATGATAAATGAGGGGCGTACGTTTCATTGATCAGTGTAATTTTGACGAAGAGGAAAAACAGATGTGATAATGTCACCCAATTCGTTCCTACAATGTGTTAATTGATATGCTTTTATTTCTATGACAACGCAAATGTGTAACATAAATTAAGATGCTTCATACTTATGAAATGCCTTTGGATATGGAACTAGTTCACTGTCGAATATACAACCGCCATTTTCAAAGTATTCACTTAAATTATTTATAAGTTACTCAAAATTATTCAAACACCCTGATAGGACCATATCGTCCCAGTCGTCCCTATATTAGGTTAACAATTCTTAAATTCTCATCTTTACATCACTGACCCGATTTTCAAAACAGATTCTTAGATTTCCAAAACGTTTTAACTGTGCTTAATGTGACAATAAAACATCACCGAGTAATAAATTTGTACTTTACAATAGGAAATTGAACAATAGTATTTAAGACATATATACAAATATATCGTTACAATAAGCTACTATCTTCTCTATTTGTTTCGTATCTTGATAAATATCATCGTCAAATCAATCAGAGACAAAGTCAATTCTTTTATCAAAAAAAAATATAAAGGAAAATCAGCAAAAAATAGTAATGTATACATTTATATATATACATCCATAAAAAGTATTTCAATCCGCTTGCAAAATAAAATTAAACTGAATAAATGATTCAAACGCTTTATTTGTTTATCACATCATAAATGGACAAAAAGAAAACATAAATCAATTCTTATATTTGAGGAAGTGAAAGAAAGAGCGATATAAACAAACAATAGGGAAATCAGCATCTTATAAAATAAAACATTCTAAAGAAGTTTACCAGTTCTAAATAATCTTACCGAGATAACATAAAACCGTCAATTTCACAGCCTTACCTTCCCTACTTTTACAAAGGTCGGAAAGAATTAAGAATTGAAGAACAACGAAGTTTTCTAGTAAGCGAACTTCAAAAATTCTAGTTTTTTCAGAAAAATGCTAGATGTATAACTGACTACACATATAGTTTTTAAATTCAGTTTTTTATTATTTAACCTACTAAGAAATTCGATGGAACCCATCTGTGCGAAAGATTGTACAAAGTGTCACTTCACGTAAACATTCTGGTAATCAACAAAATATGAATGACAGAAAAATAAATTAGAAAAAAGGGAACAGCCATATAACATTAATAAAGAGAACAAATAATACAAGGCAATAACTAGTTACCAGAATAAGTAACGAGCAACAAAAGCGAAAAAACCTAAAAAGCAAACAAGAACAACAACCTTGAACAGCGTGCTTTTTCGATTAAGCAATCTTGCATCTTTTCGATACTTCTTGCTGATATCTGATAAGTCATTTGCTCTTGTTTCCAAAACTGATGAAAAATGTTTTTTTATAAATTTGTTTGAAGTAAATCGACATTTTTCAAAACATATTTCAATCAAATCGGAAATTCAAGAGGTCTGAAATTTTAGTATTGCATGCCAAACTAAATTTTACAGAATCATGTCAAATTTACCAGATAGAAAAAGTTTAGTTAATCACTGCGTAAAAGACTATTGTATGTATTTGTTATTTACTAATACAATCAAAATGATAACATCAGTAAATGCTTGTGGTTCGTGCATTTACTGACAGCATTGTAAACTAAATAAAGAGTAAAAAAAAAACGTACTATTTAATGCTTCTCCGCGATGAATTACATCTTCAATATTTGAAACCATTATGCGTGTTACGTCTTGAAGTTCACTATTCACTGCAGATATTGTATGACGACTCTTGCATGCATATTTTCTTTTTGCCTGCTGTATGTAGTAATCTGAAATGTGAAACTCGATGATACTGACACGTAGGTATAAGGAATAAAAAAACCTTTACTTATTTTAAGTAGCAGTAATACAATTTTGGATGATTTTCGATTTCCTGAAGGATTCAATTACTAAGTAAGCCTTTTCAAGAAATCTACGCGTGCCTATCATTAGTCATCGTCATATTAAGATCCGTAAAAATGCTAAATCAAATTGCGAGACGTAGTATTTTATACTATTGGATGTAAATATATTTGAGAATCTGTAGCCGGATATAGAGAAAAATAGCACTAAATTTGAAAAAACGAACCAAACTCAATGAAATGATACGGTCTAGTGACAGATGCTATGCGCGTGCCATTCTGACCAAGAAATTCATCGGTGATATCTTCCAGATATGCAAAGGCGGATTTTCGCGGAAAATTTTTCTCACAAAGACATAATGAGCATACTGGGTTTTTGATCACATAGCTATAAGATAACATCAATAAATACCTAATTTGGTTTAGCATCCAAGTTTGCAGGAGTTGCAAACAGCATAAGAGAATCAGTTACTAGTTTCCTTAAGATTGTTACACCAGCAAAGATAATCAAACTTTTGCACGAAGTGTTGGACTTTGAAAAAAAAGAACTAACTGAAAATAATAAGGTCCACTTTCAAGAGTGTGTATAGTAGGGCTGTTGTCATTCAGTTTCCGAAAAAGCATCTTCGCCTGATTTGTATATTTTACCATATTATGATCCGGCTGAAAACGTTATCTAACTTAAAAATGTCATTTGTTGGTCTTCTCAATAAAAATTTCTGACAAACATTTGATGAGGGTGAAATATTTAAACGATAATTTTTCATCTTTAAATTTGCTCCAGAGACGACACTCCCTTACATTATTAACACGTCCTCCGTGTTTCTTAATCGTTAGAATTCCTAGTACGATACTCTCGGTACTACTGATATTATCCACGATTTAAGGCCTAGAGAGACATTTAAGTAATTTAAAATCGTTTTCCTTTACATAAGATCCTCATATTTCACATTTCTGCTACGGCTAGAATGAATCAAATTTCAAGCAAGCGAACCTCGTCGCTGCCCTCAATTGAAGTAGCGAGAATAAGACCATCGGTTACACGTGCAATTAGCGTTAACAGAACCATGCCGTGTAAATCACAACCCTGAAAAAAATACTTAAAATTCATCTATCCTAACGTGATAATAAGCTCATACAGAACAGAAAAGCGCGCATAATCTAGAACAGAAAAGGCAATAACAAAACTTAGAATTTTTTAATGAAAATTAGTTTGAAGTTTCGCCTCTTTATGACCTACCATGCACTACGTCAACCAACAGGGACCTCCCATTTGCGTCATAGTAATTCCTGACAAACACGCTTACCACACGTGGTCACTATGCAACAAGGCATCTCGTCTACAACACTGACGTGCAGTGAAGTCGTGTAATTCAGTCCTCACAATACTCCACTCAAAATGTTGCAACACGCCCCGTTTGTAAGGCTTATCTTATAGTCACATGGTCTGCAAAGAAAGCACGATCAATCCAAATCCGTTTCATTGTTGTTTACTTGATTAGGGTCTATAATGTCTCTCTTATGACGATTTACAATACATGTTTAAATTGCCATTTTTTAGATATTATGATGTATGCCAGGATGTTATAAAAATATGAAGCAGCACAGGTTAACAACTTTTCATTGAACATTATATAAAACAATCAGTTAAAGGGATGAATCCGTTTAAAGAGAAAATATGTACATTGCGCTGATACAACTACACAAAATTATCAAATCAAAGTGTTATTCACAAGTTAATCCTATTCATGCTTTCTCTTTCTGAATTCCTGTTCCTTGTTAATTTGCGAAGTTCGGAGCAAATTCATATCTACACTAGCTTATTCACAATAACCATTAAGATATAAATTTACTCCAAATAATATTTCCATATTTATAATATTTGCATGTTAGGTAATATTTCATTTTTCATGTATTGTGAGCAATAACGAAAATGATATAAAAGTATGATAACACAGATTGAACAAATCAAATATCTATATCGAAAAATGTTGGAGACCACTTCTATCAATCCTATTGTTGCACAGAACCATTCTATTTACTAAAAAAATTCAATTATATACACATTATGCACGATTTTGAAGATGTGATAAACGAATACGATAATGGGCAGATTCATTTCTCATATTTCTACACATTTCATTCTACTTTAAAAAAGTGTAGGAATAGATCAACTGCCGTACAATAAATTCAAAGTTTAAACATATTAAAAAATTAAGCATAGAATAAAAAGAAAAAAAGAATAAATTTTACAGCAAATGAATATACTCCTAACGCATTCTGAGATACCAACGAATTGCACTAATACATTGATTTGCATATTATATGTAAATTGAGCTATACAACACACATAATGTGCAAGAACTTACTGCAGCATATTTACAAAATATATTTCCCAGAAGTGAAATTAATGACATAATTTACTTCAAACAAGGAAAATTTATGCACTGCAAATCACCGACCAACATATGTTGCATATTTAAAACTTCGTACAGATCACGATAATATTGTACAAATCGAACTGAAAAAGACCACGAAAATATGTATAAACTGAAATGAAGAATGCAGTAAACAATTCAGTGCAAATAAGTTTGCTTATTTAAAAGTGGTCAATCAAGAACTATCTTTTCACTCAATTTTAAACTTTTGATGCTCTAGTTCCACGATATATTGAATTTTTGAATGAAGAAAAGAAAACATACTAGATGCTTTTTTCTGCTCTGTATCACTAGACCAATCTAATGCCTCCATCGTCATTCCAAGCAAATCATTCAGTTGGCACGCATTCAAATCTTTTAGTTCTCTAATACAATCATTTGCGAGGCGTCCAAGCTAGAAATTTTACATTGCTGGTGTAAACATGCGTGAAATAAGCATAGCCTTAAAACGTTCTCAGAACCTTCTACGTTGTATTACATCTTTTCTTAGTGCTGCTCAATCACATGACGATTCTATAAACTTATCTTTTTTTTCAGAGAAAAAAATCGCATAAGTAAATGTAGAAATAAAACAAGGAATGGTAACTGTAACATACCATATATTTGATAGAGACTTTTCGTAGCCCATTTGATATTGGTATTTCTAGCATCGAAGGTGATTCCGTTTTTAATAACTTCGCAAACATTAATAAATTGAAAAGATCCATTTCCTTGAATAAAATCGAAATCCATTAGAAATGTAATTATTGAATAGAAATCTTAAACCGTTGAAACTCTAAACTTCTAGCAGAAATACTGAAACCTTAGAACAATTTTGATGACTTCGGATTAACTGATGAGTTTAAATGAATGGATTACCAGCAAGGGGAAAATGTTATTTGTTGTTCCAAGAGAATCATGGAACAGTTTATATAAGTTGGAGTAGTGCTTCTTCGGAATAGAAGTGAACTTTTCGGTGATAACATACATAGCCAATCGGCACATATCAGAAAGCATGCTGCAAATTTAGGATTGTAAATTACGGTGAAGAAACATACCAATGTTTTGCTTATGAATCTAATAAACAAACAAACTGTGCTGACGTTATATACAAACTTTAACTTACTTCACCATCGTTTGCCATTTCATGGCACCTGAATAATTGTAGAACTCTGTATTAAGCCTTGTTATAACCAGGCGTAATATTCCGGCTACTTCTATTGCAGCAGCATTCTAAAAAAAGTGTCGCAACAAAACGAAGGACCACAAGAATCAAAAGACTTTTTCATATCCAAAATCATACTTTTTTCGTTTTTTTTATTTCCATGATTTTCACCAAATCACCTTCAACTTGTTTCAAAACATCGCGCTGTAAGCTGGTAAATGAACCATCAGTTAACAGCTCGGTGAATTTGACCTAAATTAAAAGTGTTAATAAGAGAAGTATGGACAAAATTTTATCAATAAATTAAAAAGAATGTATTATAGATTTAGAAGTCCTCCTGAAACTTTTTCTCAAAAAAGTTAGTTGTCCTTTTTAACAAATAGTGATCCACCCATGTTGAACGCTAACAAACCAAAATATGCAAGACACAAACATACTCTTTCATTGTGGATGATCTGTCCTTTCAATTCCCTTGCATATCGGAAACAACCATTTGCAGGAAGTTTGCAAGCGCATTTTGGACATGTGTATTGTTGCTTTCTTGATGTCTGTCCTTGTATATGGAGATCGGCCTTCTTTAAATCGCGTTTAGATAGGGTTGAACTTTAATCAGAAAAAAGCGAAAAAATAAAAATTTCAAACCACTCAAGTTTGAAATCTCGGTATTTTTCCCTAAAACAACTAGCAACACTAACCTCAACACTAACAATACATTTGCATCCTTGAAACTGCAAGATAGGAACACTTATTCCCTGGCATTCAGCACAAACATCTGTAAAAATGCTTTTCTGTCTAAAAGTAAATAACAAAATATTAGATCAATAAAGTGGGAAATTTGGCGGTTATAAAATATTTGCGTTACTTAATAGAAACAGTAAACGATAAAATATTCTGAACTAGCTGAAAAAATCTAAAAACCAAAATATTTCAACTCTTCATAAAACCATTTTCATTATTACGGGTAAAAAGACATCATCACCTGGACAAATTTCGCCGCATAGACTGAGACAAATATGTCCACAATCCAGCTTCTTGTCACATGAAAAATTACACGGACTAATGTTGCATACTTGCCAGCATTGCATTTGACATTTCTGATGCTTGCAATTATTCATACAACGCTGTACGCAAAAATTGCAAAAATCAGCACATCGAGCTCTTTGTTCCTGTAATGTGCTGGTAAAAGCGCGATTTTTTTATTTGAAACATGTATTATGATAACCGTCCGTAGAAGAAAAACAACACATGACATGCTTCAATAATCTAGTGTCGGTGACTAAAATTAAACGAAAAATTTAAAAAATGCAGACCGTAAGTAAACCAAGTTGTTGACCACAATGTGAATGTCCACACTGATTTGAGCAAGGAGCTATGCAGGGCTCGCAAGGTGTTCCACATGTACGTAAACAGTTGTGACCGCAAGGAAGTCGGTTACCACAGAGTGACGTACAACTATCACATCCATCTGTGAATGAATTACTTAATTTATATAAATCCGATATTCTTAATTAATTTTCTTCTCTCCCATGCTCATTATAATTACAAAGAAGAAATTCCATCGTTCTCGAAAGTACAACCCAGAATAATGAAGATATTTGGCATTTCGCAGATATTACTTTTCACCAGATGGCAACCTGACTCATCAAATCAATTAGTGCTTTCATGATGAAGAAATCCATGCAGTCAGTGAACTAATTGTAAAGAAGCAAGAAAAAGAATAAATAAATAAAAGTTTAAGAGATCATATTCGGATAGGAAAGTAAAAAGAATTTCAATTACATCAAAATTCAAAAAAGTAAATAAAAGTGTTTATTCTAGAGAAGGAAGCAAGAATGAATTAACTTAAAATTATTTTCAAAGCTAATCCACCTAATGTACAGTTTCCACATGGCAATTGACAACGATGACCACATGACAAAATCCGCTCACACTTTTCACCACATCGAGCATCTTCGTAATTATGAGATAGTACTGTCCAGCCATGATTACAGGTAGCAAATGTCTTTTCCACTTCTAGTACACATTTCGCTTTCTGTTTTTCAGAACAAGAAGCGGTATGTTCACAATTGAATAAGACCTCCTAAAAAAGAAATATTTCGGACTGTCATCGTATTAATAGTTTATATGTTAAACAGTCTCGAACGGAACTGTTCGTTATATCGTTTGTGCGTCGAATAGTCTCGAATAGAATTCTCGAATTGTAATCCGAATCCTATGAATACTCCACAGTATAATACTCAGTTTGGTAAAAAGACACATCATTATTAATTCAATAGCGCAGCGTATAATATGATTCATAGGTATCATATGATAGTGTAATCGAATGTCCAGAAAAACATAAAAATTCATCTCGAAACATAGAAACATAAAAATTTATTTAAAAAACTAGCTGTTTACAACTAACTTGAGAGACTAAAAGTAATAACATCAACAAATGACCAACATAAACTCACATGTGAACATTCGCAAGGTTCGTTGCATTTTTTTACACACTTACATCCACATGGCAGTTTTTTCTGACATTTCTGTTGGCATACTGCTTCCTCGAATAGATAACAAACAATGCCAGTTGTATGACCGCATGGGAAAGTTTTGTTCTCAAAAAACTCACAAGCACCGCAAGACTAAAATCAGATTTGGACAGCTTGTCAAATGTGCAAATCGATTTATAATTGAGAGTTTGAAAATTAATCTGTAAAAATTTGCAACCAAAATGTAGCCAAGCAAAGATACCCGTCATGGCGTATTTCATGTCAAGAACGTATTTCATGTCAAGAAATGCGTATTTCATGTCAAGAAATGCGTAGAGAATAAGCGACACGCAAAAATTAACAAATATATACACTGTCCTTCACTTTTATTCATGTTTGAAATATTGGAGAATAATCTTACTTCACCACATAACTTTGTACAAGGATGTCGAAACATCGTCGAGCATGTTTTTGGACAAGAATGAATACAAGCTTTCTTGTGTTCTGGATCTGTTCTGAATTGATTATTTTTACCTTTAAAATTATCTTTGTCATTCTCTATCCCATTCCCCGCTACACGTGTTCCCCGTCTGATTTGCTTTATCCTGCTTTCTCCCTCTTTGTTTTCATAGTACTTTCCTTAAGTACAGTCATGTCGTCACACTAAAGTTCTGCTTGTGACTTGCAACTATAAGAATACTTCACTAGAAAATAAAAGAAACTGAAAGTGATCATACCGATGACAAGGTTGACCACAGATGTGACCACAAGATCGTACAAAATCACAAGGACAATAGCAACCGCCTTGAGGAGTTTTTGTCAGAAATTCATCCGCGTTGTAGATGATCTGAAGGAAAAAAAATTCTTTAAAACTGGAAATCTCGATTTAAAACAGTCGTTTAGAAACTGCACTTCCAAAATTAAGTTTCATCAATTTCAATTACCTGCGTAACATCATGTTTTGCACAAAATGCCGGAAAGCCATTGCCAATACAATCAGCATCTTCCAAAGCAATACATAGCCGATTCCAGAGATGTGAGTTAGATCTAAGGAAATGCATATTGCCTATCATGTAAAGACCAAGTTTGGAGCGTGATAAAGCCACACATACACGATTAGAAACCTAAACAACGATACTCTGATTTACTTCTTTGCTCAAGCTCACATAAAATATAAAATCCGTCAATCAATTCGTTTTTTTTAACTTCAACAAATTTTTTAAAAATTTCTCAAATGAATAAATTTACGAACGCACTCCAAGAAAACCGACACCATTACTCGGTTGTGAACGCACAAGCGACAAAATGATTATATCATTTTCTTTTCCCTGATAATTATCAACGGTTTCAACCAAAGGTAAACTTTCACTGTTGAATTTTAACATTACTTGTGTCCTGACATAATTTGCCTGAGCTGCGTAGGCACATAATAAGGTGATCTAGAAAAGAAAATATGGCCATTTTCATTAAATAATATTTTTAGCAGTAGAGGCGAAAAAATTTCCTACTGTTCTTGAAAAATAAAAAAAATAAATAGACCTGCGAGCATGCATAGCCCTGCTGAAAAAAATAAGCAGATAAGTTGACCATAAAATCGGCTTCAAATAAATTTTTATACGAAGTTGAGAAGGATACATCTTCCTCATGACAATGATTAATAAAGTACAAATTTTTCCGACATCCTACAAAGAATATAACAAATTAAGAAATTAATAAAATTTGCGTTCATAAAAGCTGTCTTACTTCATATCAGATCTATATCATAAATAATTTCGATTCAGCCTATGTTTATAACTCTTGATATAACAGTTCAAATAATTTGAAAAGATTCACCTTCAACATTTGGATAGTTCAAAACATTATCGGCATCTTTCATCAACGGATAAAATTCTGGCATAATAGTATTTGATATAGAAGTAGCCATACGATGCTGCTCTTCCAGTCTTGCATACGGGAAATCATTTCTGATCAACCTTTCAAACAAAGATATATCCAAATTGTACTCACGAGCAAGAGTAAATACAGCTGAAGTAAACGATTTACGTAAACTTCATAAATAAATAGAAATCATTGAGAATTAAGTAAAAAAAACAAGCTAAAAATTAAGCAAAAGTTGTGTCTGTGGGCTGCTGGGAAAAAGCAATATGTATGAAATGCACAGATACTAACTTCAGCTGACGATAACTGTCTCAATCTCGATACCAAAGCATTTGATCAAAAAATTAATTATAAAAGATAAATAAGTGCACTATCTTCATGGTTCGAACAAGAAGAACTCAAATTATTTTACATACCATCATGTGGTAGTCGACTTATGATTGCATCACTCTATTACATGTATCAAAGTAAATAAAGTTTATTTTGAGGAACAAATTCTGTACCAGTATTTGGACGTAGTTGCTGATGATCTCCAATTAAGATAGCATGCTGACATTTATTTGTAATGCTTGTCAAAACATGAGCTTCCAAGACTTCAGCTGCTTCCTCCACTATTACAATAGGACAACCAAGGCGATCCAAAAGCGGTTTCATTTTTGCAGCGCAAGTTGTAGTTGCCCCGATAATCTACAATTCAGATGAGGTAAATATGCAGCTCCCAAAATTGTACAAAGTCCCAAATGCAGTTATGAAGAACTATTAAAGTGATTATATCTCAGAAGAGTATTATTTTCAATGATAAGCATTTGAAACTGGAAGCACAATACAAAAAACACTAATATTTTGATAAGCTTTTTGTGAAGAAATAATCTTTGTTATAAAATCTCGATAATAAACTCCTAAAAGACAATGAACATTTGGTAATTTATGACAAAATATGAAGAAACAGCACCAAAGCCTTTCGTAGAATGATTTCATTCAAAACATCGTATGCGTTGTTGACGTCCTCCATAAGCGTTTGATACTTAAGTATCAGCGCATTTAGTTTTTTAGTTACAACAATCTTCAGTTTACTGATCCAGTGCATATATAGAGCCCAACGACGGTGCCTGTGTAAGGTTTGCAGGTTTTTAATTGATGAGGCTTCTTCTAATGTCAGAGGTGAACTCTGAAAAAATTCAATGCTTTAGTGGAATACAAGAAGTAAAGCAGGAGGTAATTTTGTTGGTATCAAATTCAGCCACTTTACAAAATCGCAGCTTTTCCAATGCAAAATTTCTGGATACGCCGAGGAATTAACCTAATAATAAAAAGAATTGATTGATGAGGAAAGTGTTGAAGAGAAATAAAACTAACTTTTAATATATCGGCTTTTACACTGTCTAGTCTTGCAATAAGCTCCACTTTAGCCTGAAGTACTGCAAAAATTCTAATTTCTGAAGATTAAAACAATAACATATTAATCTTTAGTATACACTATCTTAATTAAAGATTGAAAGAGATTCGACAATTATTACATTTGTACGATGCTTTGATTTGTCGTGCTTTTGATCGGAGAATATTGCGACTTTTTTGATCGCGAATGCATGAGGATCTTTATTAAGATTCCATTCACCAGAATGATAATAGTCGTCTATATCTGAATTAGTCTTAAGTTCCTGAAAATTCTTGAATTAACATTTTCACGTATTTTTTAAATATATGCTTCTAGCAATCACATATATTTAGTTATCTCAAAAAATTTATAGCAGTTTTTATCATTTGAGGAAACTGACACTCTAATTTTCATTTAAAACAAAAAACAAGCTGATCAATTATTCAATTAGCCACAAATTAATATAGATCTACGAAAAAAACACATCTGCAAAAAAGTAAGCAAAGATATCAGTTCGCGCCATTTTCTAATATGTACTGTTGTTAATTACACCAATCATTAATTTTTTATTTATATTTCTACTAGAAATATAATTTTGAATTCCTATATTCAGATTCATCGTAGAAACAAACCTGTTCTTTCCAAATTAGCCACTCATCCATCTGTGAAATAGACCCAAGCATTTTTTCCTTCCATTCATTTCTCTCGTCTTCGATAAATATTTCATCCATAGACCACAAATCTGACATTTTTGGATTCTCACTTGCGAAAAATTTCTTTTCCTACAAACGATTTTAATTATAAACTTGCAGAACATATTAATAACATGATGTTTTATCCGAAAGGCGACAATTACCTTATATTTACCAATCACGTCTAATATCTCATGAGTGTTAGATATTTTCTTTGCAACTTCTCACCTCACAATCACTGGTTTCTTCATCTGAATCATCTTTCACATTGACACAATTTTCTCTACCTGGATCACCCTCCAAAAGCCATGCGCAGAATATTTCATCCACCTGAAATGTGAAAAAAAGTGAAATACTAAAATTCAGGATTTGAAATACTTTAACGCTAATAAATCCATATGAAATTGGAGAAACTAAAATTTCAAAATTTAAGTTTAACTTAAATTTACATAAAAGAAAAAAGATCATGGTAAGCAGAAACGTAAACCATATATCGAATAAATCACTACAAATTATTTGAAATACTAACTGAACATTCTTTTTCACTGCTCTTTCGTTGTATGTTAAACTGTTGGATATGTTCTGGCAACATTACATGTTGTATATAATTAAGAGATAGAATTTCACTCCTACGGAGTGTTAAGACGGCAACTTGAGACTCAATCATTTTTAATAAATGAATTCTTTTCAATATTACTCGATTCACCTACAAAATCTTATTGTTACAAGTATCATAAGCTTACAGAAAAAAAAACATTTAACAATAGTTCTACAGCCACAAAAAAAGAAGTGAAGAGAACCTTAAGCTTTATTATGTCCGGAATTAGATTCATGTGTGTTTCCACTACGAATCGCTTTGTATATCTGCAAATGAATTACAACTATCTTAATGTGAAGCCGTAGCACCATATTTGTTATTTAGAGAAACAATTTAAAATAAGTAATACTTTCCACATAAAGTTTCATAAACTATTTATTGGTAATTAATTTTACTTCAATTTAAGTGCAATAAAAGCCAACTTACCTTTGCAAAGTTTCACTTTTACAGCGCGAACCAAGCCTGACAATACTAGGTAATTTATCGCTATAAAGTCCGCTTTCTTTTAAATCTACTAAAACACCATCCAAAAATTGATCCAGAGCATAATTGGTAAAGCATACGACTAATATCGGATTTACTCTCTCTGGATTCCACATATTCATATTTTCCAGCAAAATGCGTACAATAAGACGACCAAGAAAAGTTTTCCCTAGATTTACAATATCTACTATTCAAACAAAAATCAGTCAAAGCCAATTTAATTTAGCGATATTTCAACATATGACTTTATTCGTGACAACACTATTAGTGGTATGAAAAAAGATACAAAATAAAAACAGGGTGAGAATTATTCATAAAAGGAAGAAAGCATTTATTTGCCTCACTGACTAGAGTGACAAAAAAATCAACCTATTCTAAAAAATCTCAAATTTCATTAACATTGAACACATCTCGAAAAGCAACTAATGATTTCCGACCTTTGAGTTTTAAAAAAGTAATGCATGTTCCTTTCGTTTTCCCCAATTCTCTTTATTAATGTATGCATCAAGTCTTTTTAAGCTTATTACTGCAGCCTTGTATCGGTAAAGAATAAATTTTTTCCTTCACCTCGAAAAAAATATGTTAGATAATTCGGATTCTATATATAATGAAAAAATAGTTCCGTGAAAAGTTATGTAGACCCTTTCCGTTCCTTCAACTTCGTTTATTGTTATTTTCCGGCAGTCAAAACTCCAGTACACTAACCAACAGCAGCAAAGTGCAATAAATGAGCTAACCTGTACCCGGAGGTCCCTGAATCAAAGCAAGTTCATGCGTAAGAGCGTAGCATAATGCATTTCTTTGGGCATTGTCTAAACCACAAGCTACTTTGTCTCCGTCAAGTGTATATTTCAATTTATCCGCTGCATATTTTATTCCAAAAATGTTTATTTCCTTAGCAATCCCAGTTTCTACAAAACATTTTAAAATTTCACTAGTTATTGTAAAACAAAGTAACTATCAGATTCAATTCCAAAAATATGAAGTGAACTGTTTTTTCAGGTCCATCACATGCAAAGATATGGTTTCTAAAAAATTTGCAAATCTTCAAAAAGTAATTATTATAAGATAATCGTTTGAAATATTTTACTATATAATAAAATAAAACTTACTTTTTGAAGAAGCAGACTCACTATAGTCGGTATATTCAGTGTCCAAAGAATCAGAGGAACTGTGAGAATCGCCACCTATTTGCTGAACAAGGTATGAAGGAAGCCGAACATCGGTTTCAGCTTTCATTAAAAAACGTCCAAATGGAATCTCGTGATCGTTATCAAAACGCTGGAAATTTTTCAGATATTAATTTTCGCAGCCCGTCAAATGTTCCGATACTGATTACCGATCAGGTCACTATCGAAAACTAAGGATTTTTTTGGGTTGTTAGAAAAGATAATTTGATTTTTGTTATCTACTTTCTATGAATTAGTAAAAATGCCAAGAAGAAAAAAATCATTCCTTACAGAATTAACTTCTGAATTCCAATTTGTGACTACATCCCAAAATCTCCCAAAATCTTCTTGCAATCAGAAACAACTTCCTTATTGATTTCTAGTTTTTTCGTTTTAAATATGCAAGATTATTTTTGTTTGTGCATGAAGTAATACGTATTGCATTCATTTTCTCATTAGCAACTTCCACACTCATTTTTTGATGAAAAATACAGTACCTTTATGCATTCCAAGACATGTTGATACATTTCATAATACGAGCTCGATTCAATTAAAGTGTAAATTTTGGCTCGTGAAACCGAGTGGTCATCCAAGAAACATAATCCCAATTTTCCGTTTGAGAAATCATCGGAATCTCTCTCAGCAATAGTGGCAAGTAATGCTTCATCTGAACACTTAGCAGAAATAGCTGTGTGATTTAGACTAACAGAAAGTTCAAAGAATGATACTAGTTTTCAATATCAGAAATGACGGGCCAAGAAAATAACTTGGAAAAATAATGAAAAAAAAAGTAAATCAGAACAAATATTAGTTGCTATCAACAATTGCTGATAACATAGCACTTCATAGGAATTTTTTTAACTTTGTTCATTTAAATGCTAGAACTATGAACAAAATACTACTACTAACCTTGAAATCCATCGCTTGACAGGGTAACTAGTTGTCCATATTTCAGTCGTGAACTCCAAGGACTATCTGCACTTATTGGCTGAAAATTATCTTTAAATATTGGTTTTCCATTGTTAAATATGAATACTTTACGTAATACATAATTATTAAAACTGAATTCATAATTCAAACTCAAAGTTCAGTGATAACGATTTCAACCTGAAAAATGGCGTAACGAATAATTTCTCCTGTACTTCGTTTCAATTGTGCGCCTTCCACAGTGACACCTCTTATAATTAACAGATCGAGTTCTTCACTTGCATCCATTATATAGGATAAAAAAGCTTCTAAAAAGCGACAAAAAGCTATAAATAAAGATATTCGTATCGAAATTAAACCTTTAATTTTAAAGATTGTTCCCAGCCCTATAATATACTGACTCCATAACTGATAACATTTAGAGAGAATATTCACACTAAGAATTAATTTTTATTAATACTAAATTATTAATGCTGAATTCATTTATAGTCATGTTGTGACCTTTTCCCTTTCGTTCTTTCCATAACTTTATGCCGTCCCGTAATGGACCAACTAAATCTTCATGCATAAGACGAAATTGCACATCGAGATAATGTTCTTGACTTGAATAACTCCCTCTGATGATATTTCTTCGAATGTAAGGTCGACCTAAAAAAATATGTTATGCTGCATCTCAAAACACATTTGTTTTATAAAGTAGTTCCTTAGCTAATCTAAATACGCATAATAAGGTCGCTGAAATATCAAGTTGGAAATATGCATTTCCGATAATGCAGTAAACCACTTCCAACTAAAAATTATGAAATGAGTCCATTAAAGTTAGAAGGTTTTTCTACTTCTGTGTATCGTTTATATCGATACTATACTGCTGATATGCAAGCAGTTTTGATGATAATGTCTAATATAAACATTATACCTGGATGAAGTATATCATTACTGGTAGCATAAACTGACAACGTTCGGAAATCTTCTGGAGGTTTTACATCGTTATTATTGATATATGCTGGCTTACAGCCTTTAATTTCACATCTCTCGGTGAGATCAAGCGTTACTTGATGATCAAAACATTTCATATTGTCGTCTACTATATTTAACTCATGATCTTTTTGCAGATCTACTGCCAAAGATTTAGGAGTGTCGATCTGGAAAATTTTTTAACAAATTGCAATCACTCTAACTACGCACGTGTAAATGTAAAAATTAGAGAAAGCAAACAACAAACTGCATTATTAGCCAACGATGGAATGATGAAATATCTAGCGTCCATTAAAAATAAAGTGTTATAACTAAGAAATAAAGACAAAACATACAGTTAATTTCTGTAACATTTTGAAAATTGTCAACTGAAGTCCTTCATCGATAGCTGACCAACACTTTTCCGGAATTAACTCCATGAAATTAAAAAATTCGTCGCATACAGTGTCCTAAAATACTGCCCATATTAACAATATTTTGAAAGTGTAAGTAATGACTGTTTCAAAATAAATAAATAAGCAACAAACTGATGCTAATTGTAAGGTGGAAGCAACTTACGAAATCCTGTACTCGATTAACCCTTGATATGTATAATATATGCATAATGTCTTGAAGGTAAGTAAAGAGAGTTTTGTAGCAGTTATCACCGGTAACATTGCATATATAATATGCATTTTCACAAAGCATGAAAGAAATAAATCTGAAATATAGGAGATAATTAGAAATATTCATTTTCAAGTTAGCGTCGATTGAAACACTGTAAGGGAGGAAGACTGAACATTAACCCTGATTTGAGAATTTTCTCCACAAAATTAACCACTGTAGATTGGAGATCTGGAAGTTCTGTAAATGAAGCAGCAGAAAGAATGGCAAGGAGTCGGCCATTCTGCTCTCTCTCGATGAACGGAAAACGTAACCTATTATGCAGCCTTGGACTATCGATGTATTTTACCTGTAGTAAAATCAATCACGGAGATAATATTGCGCATAAATAATCTATTATAAAGAACAAGAGAACAATTTTTATCACCAAAATAGCGCTATATTTCACCAAATTCCAAAAAGAATTTTTTTCTTGTATTTTTTTCTTTATTCAAAACTTAATGGTTTATACATATAAATAACTATGCTACTAAATCCAAGTCTTTCAGTGGTTTTTCCAATTTTCGCAGATCCACAAAAATATTCGCAATATCAGCAAAATCGAATAATGGCAAATTTCCATTGATTACATGTTCTTCTTGGCTTTCACTACCTGAAACATCATTTCAAACAATTTTTCATTACTTCATAATTAATTAATTTTTCATTATTTTCACAATTAATTACTTATTTTGCATTTCAATTTCTGACAAAATTATCCATTTGAATAACTTCTACGATAACAAATTCAAATAATACTACATCTTCTCTATTTCGCATTTATAATACTTCGCAAGCATAATTGTAAATAAGCTAATAAAAAAGAAACAGTGACGAATTTCTTACTTGACAATTTTTCCTGTCCAATTGCTTTGGTAATACTTATTTTGATTGATTCTGCTTCCTTTGTATCTTCAGATTCAATTTCTGTTGCTGACAAAGCTGAAAACAGATTAGGACTCTCAAAACAAAGATACAGAAAATTAATTGGCATTGTAATCTTTCAAATGAAATAAAAATCAAACCAAAATGAAAAGAAAAATCCTTAACAACAGAAAAAAACAAAAATTTTATAAAATAAACATTTCAACAAAAACAGCTCACTTTCTTGAAATCTTCTATTTAACAGCTCACAAATTTCTTTAATCCAACGGCTCATTATTATTTCAGTTTTGTCACGTGCACAGCAAAGCAAACTATCGCTCTTTTGTATATAAAGCAAAACTTTCTCTCTCCATGCTCCTTGTATTTTGTCCTCCACTTCACTTGAGTCTAAAAATAAATCATCTAGATAAACAATAAGAATGAAACAACAAAATCACTAGAAATTAGAGAAATTGAAACTGAGAATTATAAACCAGTGAGATATCAATAATGGAATAGTAATCATATCCTTGAAAACTACAGAGGTAACTGAAGATAATCATGAAGATAATCAGATCACAAAAAATGTTATAGTGAAAAAAAGAAACAGACAGTCATCTAATAGAACATGCAACAGAAATATATCATCGAATATTTTTTCTCTGATTTTTGGTACCAAAATTCACAAAATCGTCCAAATTTACTATTTCGTGCCAATGAAAACGATGAAATTCAGAGCTGTACAATTCTTGGAATTAAAGAGTTTGGACAGGAATAACGTTAAAATTAAGATGGAAAATTTTTTTAGATAATTTAAAATTATTGAACAAAGTGAAAAAAGGAAGTGCCAATGTTTCATTGACAATATTTATGATAGAATGACATATGAATATCAATTCAACAGTTCGTACTAGATTTGATTCAGAGAGATTTTCCAATTGAACTCGTTGTTGCTGATAATTTATGTTAACTAAATATATTCAAATTTATATCAGCAATATTCTCCTAAAAGACACAAAAAGGTAGAATACCGCTATCATTGAACAACAACACCAGCATTCCATCTTTGTCCGATTCCAACTCTTTGAACCATTCTTCCACTTCCTTTTGCACCATGGCCACATTTCTGGTAAATAGAAAAGACGGTGACTGCACTAAATCTAATCCCGACTTGGAGCTGTTCTCGCGAAATACATCCGCAAAAGAGCTAAAAAGACAATTTAGAAAGAATCTTGTCGTTACTTTGTAAATATTACTCTATTGAGAGTCCCAATACTGCTTATATTTCGGAACTATTAGGCAAGAAAGAAAATCTCCATCTACATTTGTTTCAAGAATATTCCATGATAATGTCCCATAATCCGATCCCGTTCTTAATCCAACTATTCCAGTCCCGCACTATTCCAATATAATGTTTTAAATAAGCATATAAAATAATGCACCGCATCATTTCATGTGTAATTCTTCCTTTGTTGTTTTCACCAAAGATAATAATTCTCCATTCATATTTCGCTCCTGACTTCATTACCTCTGAAATATTCCTTCTGTAGCCAAAAATGGATTTCGAATTTCTCGAAATAAATTTTAATACTAAATGTGAACCAGTAGCCCTAATACTTCCCATTTCAAAATCTATTAATGTCTTTTTGGCACACTGTTGAATGCGCTATGAGTTGACTGCACTCCAAATATAAAGTTTTGTAGGAATATTATAGGATGTTGTATATCAAATCGTTCAACAAATACTTATTAATGGAATGAAATGGCTTCAAAGAGGTGGACGTCATATTTGTACGAGTGGAAAAGGACAAATGTAAAGGATGCCTGAGAAAGTAAGTTTGAAGCCAAAGTATCACAAACACTCTTCATTTGAGGAGGACCAGTAAAAATCAATATCCACCTGATTCTATATTGGCCATATCACTGAGAAAAAATCAAACAATTGTTCTTGTCGAATAATAATAACGAAACAAGTCCAACTACTATAAACATTTCTCTATCAATTCGTTCGGATATCCATCATTTCCATTTGACACTTTTTAACCAGATTGCTGAAAAGATTCATTGATAAGAATCGGATTCTGAATAACGTGTTGCATCATGGTTAAACGTGAACATTTTTTTCTCTGCGCAAAACAATGAAAGAATGTGTTAGATGAATTAGCTCATAAAAATGATCTCATTTGAAGAAATGATTCATTTCAAATGCGATCAGAGATTGACTGACTGATAAAAACACCTTCACATATATCCATTTTTTTTTCTTATTTCAAAAATTCAATTAAACATTAGTCAATTTTAGCATATATTATAACTTTTCATTAATGAGATTATATTTCTGATTATCAAATCAAAATTTTGAATTTTACATTCATTACAGTATCTGCAACAATTAATGGACGGAGAAATGTGCAAAATTGCCGATGATGAATTATTATCACTCTGAAAGATCTGCAATGAAATCTTTTCTTAAAATATATTTAATGATATTCTTAAAAAGTTTTCTACTATTTAGAAATTTAGAAACTACCAATATGTATACGATTTGGTATGTCATCGATGATGTTGCAATCCTTTTGTTTGAATGAGAATTATTTGATTAAATGTGTTGCGTATTTTATTGAATTTACTTACTTTATGCTAAATCAACGAGGAAACAATTAGGATTTAAGTGATAAATATTTCAATACTATTGTTTATGAATTAAATCCTGTTAATTAAAATTTCTGAAATACGTCGGAGCTTTCTGGTTATCATTGTTACCATTGGGTAACTTCAGCTATTTTTACGTTTAACTGCAGTTAAAATTTAGATATAAGACATGTGAATTGTTTAAGGTCAAAAAATAGTGATAATTCCAGTTAAACGTAAAAATAGCTGAAACGATTAGCCAAATGATCCGGAAACAAATCATTTGCAATTGATTTGGAAGCACGTTCAGGTAAATACATTATTGTAGACATATTTTTTACCAACGATTAATGAATATACTCTATTGTTTTTGAATTCTTCCTTTCGAAAGATTAAAGGGGCACTGTGAGATCAAGCATTAGAATAGCTTAAGCCATAACAAATGATATAATATCCATTCATTATCACATGGAAATCTATTTCTCTTGAAAATATTATATTGCTTATTCATCTTAGTCTAATCTAGTTTGGCTCTGGAAGATTTTCACAGGGAACAGATGCATTCAAAGTTCAATTATTTCATTGCGAATTTCAATTAGATCAAAAACTGTGTTTCATCCAAATGTATTTTTTCCGTTATCAGACAGTACGGAAAGAGCATCGAACTCAAAAGTAAATATTACACTGAATCAATGATGTTACAAGCAATGGTGCTTAAATCAAGGCTAATACAATCTCATGATGCCATTGATACTACAATGAAACTTGAAAATGAAAGAAAGAAAGTAAGTGCAAAGTATGAAATACTAATGCAGTTGAGAGCCGCTGAATATTAATAGCTGTAGAAAGATTTACCTTTATTACTATTTTCTATTTTAGGACGATAGATCCTATTTTCCTTTACATTTTTGGATTCAATTACTATCATTAAATAGCACTAAAATACACTTTTAAATTCTTATCATATAATGAAATATTGATTTTATTATTCTTTCCTAATGATTTGCCTATTAAATCAGGACAAGAATATCACAATGTTTATTAAGGTTTCTAATATTAGTAAAACACAAAACTTCTCTGCTCTAAAAATGGAAGAGGTGCAGATAGAAATATTAAGTTGATTTATTGGGAAGTTTTTGGGCTTATAAATGACGGATGAAATGGAAAGCGAACAAAGTGAAAATGAAGTGGAATGGTGTATGGTGTAGTCAAGAAAACACGATGACACATTTCTCATCTTATCAGAAGTAATAATCTGTCTAAATAATCTGTCTAAATTGTGGACAAGGAATATCGACAAAGAGAAGAATAGGTACTAACAAAATAGCATCGAAATCGAAGCGACTACCAAAAACTCACTCATCTTTTATATGTGCAGGTGGGACAAAAATTTTCATGTCATGACGGTGACTTTTTGAATGCATTACAATAAGTATATCGTTTTGGGGTTGCACAGTAGTTGTGATGTGCAGGAGGTGGCTTGCTTAGCCTGGGGCGTTGTTGCATGGATGGCTCGAAGGCCTTAATTTTGGTTGGGATGGTAAGATGTTTGGTCCTGAACATACAGAATGGTGAGCCTACACGACCTACAAAGCCATGGCACGAGGAGAGCGCCCAGTTTAATGGTAGACTCTCTGAACAGGTATGCTTATTACTTTAGCTGGTATTTCTTAGTAGTCCGCAACAGTTTTCAGCATCATCTACGTTGTCCTTTTCGAAGTGGAGCTGTTCTAAGGATATTTCCTTTCTAACCAAGACTACATTTCAGTACATTGTGGTGGCATTCCGGAATTGTTTTTACGTAAATCTGTGGAAACTGGCAGGTAATGAAAATGAATCTAAGAATCTGAAAACTAAGAAATGAAAAGGAATCCCATACCAGTCGCAGAACCAGTAAAAATCTTGAAAGTTTTAATATGAAGTTTAAAACATTTGTGGTGGATTTTCCATTACTTCAGCTGCGAAAGGATGACGTATTGGTACGGTTGTCAATTGGTGATTTGGTGGGTCAAAAAGTGACGGTGAACAATGTGCCGTGGACTCCTGATCGCGATCCAGCGGAACAGATTCGCAAGGATTGGAGTTATTTCGAGCCAGACCCAGTTTATCCATTAAACAACGTTACCGTAGTGACATTTTTTGGTGTTCCATATGCTGAGCCGCCAGTTTCACAAAGAAGATTCAAGGTGAAATTTTTTTCATTTATTATAAAGGGCTCCTTGCTTTTGTACTGCTATCACATTATATTCGTACTATCCTAAATATTGGATTAAACCAGTAGGTGATAAAGTAGTTAAGAAAGTTTTGCAAGAGGAGAGTACAACTCCTTGGTTTATTTGAACAATTTGTTTCATTTTGAAGTTAAATTTAATAGCTTCTCTATCTCTTTGGATCTATTAGTTCGTTCGTTTTATCTGCAAATTGCTACTTAGTTTGTGTCTGAGTTGAATTTAGCTTTCAGCCTCCGCAGATTCTTACAGAATTTCCCGGAAAGCAGCCTTTCCTGGCTATTCAACATCCACCATCATGCGCACAAAATGTCGAAGCTCGACCAACATTGTTTGTTAACGATCCTTATCCGTTCCATATTAGCGAGGATTGCCTTTACTTGAATATATTCACACCTGATGTTCGTGAGTTTGCTTATAGATATTGGGTTATTAAAATAAAAATAAAGCTTTTTCTCACATCTTTTATGCAATTTAAACTTATAATCTCTATCTTTATGATTTTAACTCATTTCAGACATCGTATAGTGGCCGCCCTGTTATTGTTTTCTTTCATGGAGGTAATTTTCAAACTGGTTCGTCAAATGAATGGCCGGGCCATATATTGTCTTCACGGGGTATCGTTGTTGTTACTGTAAACTATCGCCTCGGTGCTTTTGGTTTTCTAAGCTTTGGCGACGCAAATACTGGCAATTATGGTTTGCAGGTTGTTATTCATTATGTCATTTGGAAAGAAAGCAATTTTTTTAATTTTATTTTATCTAAAACAAAATGTTAAATATTATATGAGCTTGAAATGTAAAGAATATATGAAAGATTCCTATTTCAAGTACATTTAGGACCAAGGAACTGCATTGCAGTTCGTGCAAGATCATATAGCTGCTTTTGGTGGGGACCCAAGGCAAGTAACAATTGTTGGACACGATGCCGGAGCGGTCAGTGTTGGTCTACATATGCTGTCACCTTTTTCGAAAAGTATTAATTTCCTGGCTCTCTTTCTGTAACTTACTATCGATGATAATATACAGTCATTTACTTTCATTTACTTCAGACTTATTTCGAGCAAGTGCTGCAATGTCAGGTGCTGAAATTTCATACCATTCAACTATTGGCAAATCTGCTCTTGCATTCAATAACACTATCAAACTAGGTCGATATTTGGGTTGTACGCAGTCAACAGCAAAGCACATATGGGATTGCATATTAACGCGATCAACGAATGACATTATACAAGCTGTTCAGACAATACCAGTAAGAATCGTTCATTGTCGTTAATTTTAATATTATGAATATCAATTTTTCCATCTTGATTAGGATACCATAGCATACTGTGCAAGCTGTCTTGTGTTTACAAATAAATTCACTGCAATATTTTACCTGAACGTCGGAAGTTTCTTGATTGAAAAAGCATTTGTGCGATATATAATAATTCTGTTCTCACAAGTTCAGGCATAATATATGTGTATGATAATTAATTTGAGATGCTTCCTTTAGTCTCCTATTCAATGATTCGGTGATGAAGTTATAGGTGGAATACAATCGTTACCTCTTTTTGCCTCATGTGGATGGCCGAATCATTCCAGCTCATCCAATGTTTCTTTTGAATTCTGTTGCGACTGGCATCACTAACTATCCTTCTGCCGTGCCTTATCTTACTGGTTTCAATAGAGATGACGGCTCTGAAGTGAGTAATGTTGTATAGTGAGTAGGAGTTTGGGGACCTGTGGTAGAGTGGTTAAAGAATACAACGTTAGTTTATATATTGAGGTTCGGACCGGCGGAGAATTATGCTACGAAGCACAGTGATGGTTCATCTTTCGGGTCTGACAACTGATGACAACAAACAAACTGAGTGCTCACAGTTTTTGTTTTTCTTGCATCATCATAATGATGTTTTAGTCTTATTATCTTAGTAGAATCTGCTTTCTTAGCACTTTTTCGAAACATTGCCGTTAATTTTTGTTGTATACAATTAAGAATCTGATGCTAGTTATAGAAATTATTAAAATAGTTTTAATTTCCAAAATTCTAGACATTTGAATTCATGAAAGCGCATAAAAATGTTAGAAATTCTTCTATTTATAGGTAATACTTGAAAATCGGCTCCTGGGAGAATTTAGTGATTTTGTTTTGGTTGACCATGAATACCTCAAAAATTACATACTTGAATATGCTTTTCGCCACAATTATACGACGAATCGCGAGGCAGTAACGGAAGCAATTATTGATCGTTATACTTATTGGCCAGATGCGTCCGACGAACATGCAGTGAGGAGAGAATTCATTCATGTTTGTTAATTTAATTTTTATGAACTATTTTATGACTTATTTCCGTTTTCATTCATATCCATTAAAGCAATGATAGAAATGAGCTTTTTCCAGTGGTAGAAAGATAAAGAGGAGGCAGTGTATTACTTAGTAGAAAGTCTCTAAAATTAACGACCTGCTGAGAAGGTCTCAGTGTTAGAAAGATTGATTTCTGATCTTTTTTATCATATATAAACAAAGTCGGTAACGCATGGTTTTGATATAACAGAACACGATTGGTTTTTAGATGGCGACAGATGCTTACTATGTTGCCCCAATAAGTCTTTCTGCACATTTGCATTCTGCGGCTGGTTCGCGAGTTTTCATGTATGTTAATAATTATGAATTTGGTCGAGGATCCAGCAAGCGATTTTTTCCGAATTGGATGTGTTCGTTTTTTCTCTTTTTGGTTATGTTGGTATTGTTTTAAATGTTTTTCCAATTTTTTTTTGAATATAATCTGGGCCAAAGAATGAAAAAAAAATGAAACCCCATGATTCTTATTTAGAAGTTTTATGCTGTGTAATCATTTCATGAATGCATAAACTCTTATTGAAACTAAGGCTAATGGAAAACTGATTTTGCATGATTTTGCACTTTGTAATCAACAAAAGTAAAAATTTTAAACACCACCTTCCTTACATATTTTTTGCGTTGACTCATTCACTTCAAAATTTTAGCTGTATGTCATGATTGTGATTTATATTTACTGTTTGGTTTCCCATTTATGTCGAAGGATCTGTTGCCGAAACATTTTGGAAATATATCATGGACAGATGCCGATCGAAATGCTAGTCAGCTTTTAACATCTGTATTTCGGCAATTTGCGACGTATATGTATGTTGCTTTATTATTGAACGGAGTATGTTCTGTTTTTTTGCGAAGCACGTGTTATGTCTAACTGTTCTTAAAATTTGCCGAAAAGTTGTTTGCATTTCATGCATATGACTATTTCGAGCTAGTTGTTACAAATAGACTCTTTGAATAATTACATGCTTCATTCTCGAATTTTGAAAAAAAGTTTCGTAGGAATCCAAACATTCCAATGGATTCTGGTTGGTTAGCTTTTGAGCCACGGCGGCATTGGTATCTCAATTTCAATTACTCGTTATATTCTGATCTTACCAAGCTTGGTATATTAGAGCGCGATTATCGTTGGGACTTCGTGTCATTCTGGAATATATACATTCCTTCGGTCAGTTTTTACTTGAGAAGCTATGGTATATATGGGGTTCAATTTTGTTTCTCTTTTTCAACCACTAACAGGCTTTTGTTGTAGCGACATCTTGATTACATTTTATAAATTTTTTTCCATTCTGGACAGATGGATGACAATATAATATTCGTATCTGCTCCTTTTATCAATATTTACCACATTTTTTATTTTGTGATCTATTAATTTACTTTTTAGTTGGTGCAGTACATGACGACAACATTTCCGTCTCTTGAAGTTAAGATTCGAAAAGAATTAGTGATTTATCAGATGGCACTTGGTATAGTTGTTTGCATACTGTTTGTGATTATGGTTTTGATGTGTCTTTTTGCATATCTGCTATTTGAGAGGAATCCAAAACGAATTGTGAATCGTAAAAGATTGATACTTGACGTAAATCGCTTTTCTCGGCAGTGCAGTCAAGAATCGTGTTTGTAATCTTATTGCTGTTTTCTAACTTATTATTTATTATTGATGATTTATTTATTACTTCCAACTTATTATTTAGCTTTCTATTTATTATTTATTATTTATTGCTTCTTATTACTGCTTTCGTTTTGTAAAATCGATTTTTGATATGTTGGTGGGGATCGTTTTTCTTCTTCGATAATAGTTTAAATAACTAACTTGTGCAGCGTTAGTTATAATTATTGAATAAACTCTTAAGGTTCATAGTACTCACATTGAGAAGATTATTCATATCCACATCCAAGCTTGCGCATCATTTCGTTTTTGCTATATTATGTTTCATATTTGAAATTGATCTCTTTCCTGACTTAGATTGTTGCGTCCATGTTTTCACTTGTGAATAATCCAGAAAGTTCATTAAGTTTGCTCAAGTTTTTTGCATTTTTTGCTAAGGTACGAAACTTTATTACCACTCATATATAGCAATGTATGACTTGTCCATATTGAAGTAAATTACAAAATTGAAATGCGCATTTTCATTTGAATTGCTTTAAAAAGCAACGAAAAGTATTTTATAAATTTTCCTATAGTTGTTATTATAGCGGCTGAAGTTGTGTGGTTGCTGTGAATAGTTGTTTATAATTTCTTTTCCAATTTTTGAAATTTTGAAAATGGATATCTGAGACTTTGTATGTGAAAGTAATCTAATTTAAGGTGCTGAAAAATTTATTCAGGGTCCGATTAAAATGCCTCCGAAACAGAATTCAAAAAAAGATGGTGCTGGGACAGATAAAGCGGAAAAAGGTACCTTATTTTACGTTTTGAAAATGTTTTCTATCTAGCTACTTGCTTTGTTTCATATTGCTTTTAATGTCATTTTTCAAATGAATTGCAGGAAGTGGTAAGCCAAAAGCAGCAAAGGCTTTGGATGCTAAAAAAAAGGTTGTTAAAGGACAATTCAAAATCCACAAGAAAGGGGTGCGTGTTTAAATTTTTTCTTATATTTCGGACAAATGTGTCATATGAGATAGATGGAAAATCTTAATTTGCTATTTTTTTTCGATGTTTCAGGTCAAGACATCTGTGCATTTTCATAGACCACATACATTGATTTTGCCACGGTCACCTCGTTATCCACGAAAATCTGTTCCTAGGCGCGAAAAACTTGATGCATATGCTATCATTAAACACCCATTGACGACGGAATCAGCAATGAAAAAGATTGAGGATACAAATACTCTGGTTTTCATTGTTGATATCAAAGCAAACAAGCCGCAGATACGACTGGCTGTCAAAAAACTTTATAATATCGATGTGCAAAAGGTACATCATGTTTTTAAGAGTGTAGTATTGAAGTTTTTTGCCAAGTTTTGATTCATAACGGAATTTGCTGCACTTTGCTATAATCTCTGATTAGAATGTTTTTTCCAAATGTTATATGATGTTAAAATTTCCGGAGAATAATAAAATATTATTAGTAAGATGTTTTTAGGTGAACACTTTGGTAACGCCAAATCACGAAAAGAAGGCATACGTACGTCTGGCACCTGACTATGACGCATTAGACGTTGCAAATAAAATTGGCATTATTTGAAGCATTTTACCGCGTTGTTATGCTGTTTATTTTTTTATATATAAATGAATAAAATGTTTTTTCCTGGTTGTGTGAAGTTCGCCTTCAAGTTTATCAGTTGCTTCATTCAAACATTATTCAATTCATCCGGTCAGACAAGAACGAACGTTAGTGCTGTGCAGGTTCTTGTTAGACGATGGTGGTGACTTCAGGATTTGTCGTACTTGGTGTGACGGTAGTAAGGAAAGATGGGATTTAAATGCCAGAGCATCGCAGTGTTTCTGTGCAACAGATTCCATTGCGTTGATGTCGTGTATTCTCGAGTTGGAATAGTGGATAATCAACTCAGTCCACCGACTAAGCTGTTGTTTCTAATTGTAGTTTCCATCGTTGGAGAATAAGTTTTATCCTGTTTCGCAACTGTCTGATTAACTTGTACATCTCTTTGGATTACTGGATTGGATTTTTGAAAAATTATTCTTAAAGTGGAAGAGATAACTGATGCTTCCAGGGATGATAAGAGACGAAACGAAAGATTCGATTTGCTGTGAGTATGCTGAGCAAGATCGAACTTTGGAACAAAAACAAAGAGCGGAATTGAGGGAGCGTTTCCTGAGATTTATGTCTTTTCTGAGTGGAAAACAGGTTTGCTTGTTTCATTCCAGAAAGATCAATGTAAAATGAATTTATGGCATTGGGCTGAGAAATTAGGTGTAAGATGCAGAAGCATTATCGTTATTCAGCTTAAATAGCTTTCTGGTACTGTGCAATAGAAGCAATAAGTTGGCAGAGTTTCGATGCTTGAGAAAAGAAAAGCCCATTGGTCAAATGGATTATAAAATCGGTCTAAATAAATCATTTCGAACATGATTTAGGTAGAGCTTGACATGCACGAACGTACTCAAGTGGCCGGAAAGTTTGGTGCAATAAAGGCAGACCAGACACATTATATTGTTGATGGACTAATTACACCAATCGGCGTGATTAATCATGCCATCTTGAGGATGAATGATACAATCCTTATTTCAACCAGTGATCTAAATGAACTGTCAAATTCCAAAATTCCCATTCAGTAAATAACTGACAACAAATTTGTTCATGTCTTTTACAAGTGGTAGAAAATATGAATACTGTGGTAGAATATAACTTGGCTCTCCTAAGCAAGCACATATATATTCTTTGAATAACATGGGTGGTAATATTTGACTTTTATCAAATAAACTGACAATAGTCCGACTAGACGACAGACTGCATGAAAACTTTACAATTAGTGCAAAGGAAATTAAGATAAAAAAGAAATTAAATAACAATTATTCCAAAAAAAACCGGTATAGATCACCATTTAAAAAATTCCTGATAATTAATTTCATTTTAGATGTCGCTAAACTAGTTTCACATTTCACTCTATTGTACATCTTTCTTTTACGTTTACAATGCATATGGGATATGAGTACCTGTCAAGAAAGAAAGCAAGAGATGGCATTTGCATAGTGAAATAAATCGAAGATTAAGTAACTGTTACAAGTCTTTCCTCAAAGAAAAGATACTGACAAATTGACACAAATTCATGCGGATGTTACAGCTATTTTCCTAGCAAATCTTGCTTCCGCTGCGACGATGTTTTCGTATGTTAACAGGTTAAGAGAAGCGTTAGGGTCTTCGTAATACGATTTCAAAAAATGCGCAGTTAATTCAATCGCTGCTTCAGCACACTGCACCGGATCGGAAAAACTTTTCATGCCTAACCAACGACAGAGCATTTCCGGAATCAAAAGAGGGAAGTCCGTGAAAGAGTGATGCATGGCTCCACTGAAATTCAAAATTCTTGTCAAAAACAATATTTCGTTTCTCAGTACTTAATAAATAGCTGGTGCAAAACGACCAATTATGAAGTTATTATTTCGAAAATGTTGTAAAATAATGTGAGTTCCATATATGTCAGTGCGAAATTTGCCTTAACTTTTTCAATTTCCTGTTTTCAATCCCTGAAAATTTGAATCACGTTTAAAAACTTTTCAGACGTACTTAAATGTAAGTAAAACGCTGCGTTTCGAGTTTTCGACAATTTGTAACATGTCATTTACGTTTGCTTCCCACTGAAAGCTTTCTGCGTTCATAAACAAAACAGGTTGTTGAACACGTGTGAGTAATTCCCTTTCAATGGGAAACATCCATCCATCGAGTATAACGGCAGCCTGAAAATGCAGAATTAGAATTAAAATGCAGTATTTTTGAATTCGACTTCGATTCATTAAGAGTAAAAATTTCGCAAAATTGAAAAATGGACCTACAAAAAAATCAGCAGGGAAAGCTGCTGCTGTTGCAACGGCTGTTGCACCACCAAAAGAATGACCAGCAATAAATGCCTTGCCTGTATCTAAGCGACCCTGTAAATCATTCCAAATATTTTTAGAAACCAACAAAATTTATATATTTTTCCGGAAGTTTAGACAATGATATAAAAGTAGAGGAACTTTATGAAATATAGATTCGCATGAATAACGTTAAGCTGAAATTCCGAGAAAATTGCTTTGTGAACAAATTCAAATGGGATTTATCTATGACTTCATCATAATAATGAAACCTTGAACTGTGACCACGCGAAATCATTCCCCAACAATAACTTATTTCCAGTTTGTTGGTCCAAACTATACTGTCCCAGATTTAGCTCCATAAGTACGTGTAACGTTTTTACACATTCCGCTACTCGTTTGTGAAGCTGAAAGAAATGCATTATTTTACCTCGAAATTGTTTCTTCAATACAATAATACTTCTCAATCACCTGCCAGAAAAAGTGATGCCTAGCTAACCTTTCTTTTTTTCATAGGAAACACTCCTCAAAAAAGTTCAACAAAGGAATCAATCAGAATTATTTGTTCGGAAGTTCTAATCTACAAGTTCTATTCCTGTTAATAGGTATTTCGCTATAAACTATAAAGAATTATTCTTATCAAACGCATCAATTTGTCCTCAGTCATCTGCTTCTTCTCGTAAATTTGTTAGACTTCTATGAAATTTTGATTCAAATTATTGTTAACAAATTTAATAAACAAAGATAAAAACTGCAAACCTGCTCATTTCGGAATTGAAATTCATTATCGGTTGACATAAGTTTACGAAATTTCACCGGCACTTCTATCTTCTCTCCCGTCTTTTCATCAGTTTCAAATTTATACGTCCAGCAAGCTGAACAATCTCTGGAAGGTTACAGGTAAAATTGATTTGTTGAGATAGCGATTTTAAAAACTCGATTTGTGGAGGGTTTCGTAAATTGTTTTCACGGAAAAAGTGAATTACGTTATAAGCCTTTTGTGTTGAACGCTACAGCATCATCCTTCATCTACTCTTATGGTAATACAATAGGTTTCGTATATTGTTTTCACGGAAAAAGTGAATTACCTGTGCTCAACAGCTGCTACAACATATCCATGACTTGCCAATGATGAGCAATAAATTGAGTAAAAGTGGCGACACGCTGAAAGGCCATGAGAAAATATTAAAATCGGATAGTTAGTCATAGTGTCATTTAATGGAAGATGCCAAAGAGCGGGAATCCTGCAATTAATAAATGGGATAATATAAAATTAAATGAACAAAAGTTGCTCATAATTATTCCAAAGGCTAGAATAGAACGACTCAAAGAAATATTTATACTTTTCAATTCCCCCGTGATCATCTCCACCATCCATATCGCTCACAGTGTTTTTTCTCTAAGCTCATTATTTATCTTATTACAACTATTAAAAAATGGCTTCATGGAAAACAAGAAATTCTTCAATTATTCTACACCTTCTTTAGAAGGAAACTGTATTAGAAACTTGTTTTGAAAGGAACTATATCTTGATCATTAATATTTCATTCGTATCATTTGCTAAGCGCACCTTTTTTCACCAATAAACCATCTGTGTATGAAATGCATCCAACGAGAAGATGAATTCCGATAATCTGCTAAGCCATCAATATATTCTTCTCTTGGAAGCCATAAAGGGTGTTCCGATTTTTCCTGAACAAAATCTCCATTTCTATCACTTTTATTTATACGTAGCATAGTGATACCGTTTGCAGTAATAATTAAATTATACCTCTATTCCTTTCATCTACTTATTGACCGAGTGTTTGCGTCGGTCATTTCAGCTTACCCTTCCGATACATACTTAGCACTCTTCCTCCTCAAAGTATTACCAAGTGCTTCGTGTAATTTGATATTGAAAAGTTCCAAGTTAGCATTAAAAATTGCGAACATCTGATGTGAGTGCTTTATCGGATGGATAATAGATTGTCGATAGGATGCCAATATCATTCTCACTGTCGCTAACCATAATTTCCGCACATCCAACTTCAAATTGTCCATTTCCAAGTCGAGGCAACACAGTGGGATCTTTCTGCACTGATCTTGATGTTATAATTCCCATCACACGTGGAAACTGAAATTCTTGCTATTATAACTTTAACTCATCTATCAGAAATCCTAAAATTTTTATCAGAAATTTGATAGCCTAATAATTTCACACTCATATCAAATCTGAGATAACTTATATGGTCTACTTTTGATTGTATACACCGAGCAATCTATTCATTATTGCAGAAAGTATTTTATCAAGTGTGGCCCGATCCCTAGGCAAAAAACATTGCAGTATAATATGTTCTCTGGCATGTGCGTGCGTGCATGCATGCGCGTTTGTCTGTATGTGTATGTTATATCTATATGTATGTGTATGTGTTGTATGTGTGCATGTGTGTGTGTGTATGTATGTGTGTGTGGCGTTTAACTTTAAATACGAAACAAATCATAAATACGTATTAATTAACATGGATCGAGAATTAATTTGAAACAAATAAATAAAATGTAAGCGCGTAAGTAATATAAACGAAGGGGAAAATAAGTAAATTGTGCACATTGGACAGATGATAACTAAAATGACGAAGTATTTCTATCATTATCAAATTATAAGGATTTATCAGCACACTTTGAACTATTGCGACTTAGGCTAATTACTCATTCAATCAATAAGTCGATAAAACTTTGTTGACATCTATGTTGCATTCAGATAAGTAGCAGAAAAAACAATCAATAACAGAGCAGAAACAAAAGCAGGTCAGGCGTAAAGTTTTATACATGAATATGTGAATACGTTTGAATATTACAAATGAAACATTCGTGTAAATGCTTCATTCTTTATTATTGGTCATTTGCTAAGTGGGAGGTTGGAAGGAAAGCGAAATTTTATCAAATGAAAAGCGATAACAGAAAGAAGGAATCGAAGGTTAGGCCTTCATTCTATTTAAACTGATAAGGAAATATACCTAGTGATGATTATTTGATAGGGAATATTGCGCTTTTACAAAAAGTTTAAAGATATGTTGTTCAGAAGTTCAGTTTCGCAGAGATAGTTTTAAACTTTCACAAATAGTTCTGAAGATGATGGAATGAATTCAAATTGAAAATTTGGGAAGAAAGGTCAAACTTATAGACGTTAATTTGATTGATGGAAAAAAGAATGAAAAACGTTTGAGGCAGTGTGTCTTGTTGATTTTTGATTTTTCAGTTGATAGTACAGAAATCGAAAGATTGATGGATTGTTTGAAAGAGTTCTTACCACTCTATGAACTTTAACGAATTTTTGATGCTTAAAAATCAGTCATTCATTAAATCTTACTACCTAAATGAAATAATTTTAGAAATTTGTAACATGATAAAGATTTATGCCACTTTTCATGAAATTTTTTTGAAGGAAGAGAAAGGAGCTGAAAAAAACGCCATTCTACCATCTGATTCACAGCAAGTACAAACACGTTCGATTAATACATCACGTAAGTACAAACACATTCGATTAATACATCACGTAAGTACAAACACATTCGATTAATGCATCACGTAAGTACAAACACATTCGATTAATGCATCACGTAAGTACAAACACGTTCGATTAATGCATCACGTAGGTACAAACACGTTTGATTAATACGTCACGTAAATACAAACGAGCACGTCGATTAATACGTCACGTAAGTGCAAACGAGCTCGTCCGACTAATACGTCACGTAAGTGCAAACGAGCACGTTCGATTAATACATGACGTAAGTGCAAACGAGCTCGTCCGACTAATACGTCACGTAAGTACAAACGAGCACTCCGATTGATACATCACGTAAATACAAACGAGCACGTCCGATTAACGCATCACGTAAATACAAACACGTTCGATTAATACATTACGTAAATACAAACACTCGATTAATACGTCACGTAAGTACAAACACGTTCGATTAGTACATCACGTACGTGTAATTGTAGAATATTATATTACTAAACGCCAATACATAAAATATTACCTGCCAGAATATTGCTTATTCTATATTTTTTTTTTCAAAATTTGAAAAGTATTTTTTATCTTACTTTCATTTCAATCATTTCGCATTCCTTCATTTATCGCTTTTAGTGTTTGCGAATATGAAAATTGTTAGCGATGCCTCTTCGCAAAAGAAAAATGAAAAAATCGCTCATCAAAAGTATTCGAATTTTGATAATTTGTTTAGTTTAAAATTGTGAAAAATATTTTCGCAACAATGATTGTAATACTGTAATTTATAGAGCATCAAATGGACGAAATAAAAGTGTGCTAAGAGCGTTAACTTCACCCGGTTGTCGATCTCCTGAAATTTCAAATACACTAAGTAAGTTAACAACAAATATTTCAGTTGATCATAAATGCTTACAAATTTTTCTTTCACAAAGTGCTTCCGAAATGAATGGTTTTTTCAAAATTTGGAACTTGCAAATTATAGGTAACAATATTTTACAGGTAACAATATTCAATTGCTAAATATTACCTATAAACTGATATTATTAGGGGAAAGATGAGATAGAATTGTAGATGGAATATGATTGTGAATTTTTTAATTTTTTTTTTACAGTTTGTAAAACAGCTCAAAAATCAAAGTCAGAGAGTCACGTATCCAGAGCTGATATGGTGACAGTAAGTTACACGAATTCATTAGTATTTTTAATTAAATTCAAAATCTACGAGAAATTCAAATTTCGGACGAAATTTCAATAGCTTTAAGTTGTAGTCAAAATTTAAGATCACAAATTTAAGTTATTTGTTTATTTCCACAAGTGTGAAGATATTTTTTAGTGATAAATATTTTTGAATGAATTATGCATTATGAAAGTAGGATTCTGGGACCTTTTATTCTAGGTTACAATTAAATCAACTGTATCATCTTTCAAACCACTAAAGTTAGTGATGAAGAAAACAACAAGCATACGCATGCTAAAGAATTATTTACACTCACGATTTAGTGGCGCTAATAAGATTATTCTCATTTATGATAACAAGGAATTGAAGTGGGTTTGCTGTTTCAAAATCTTCCCTTCTTAAAATCATAATTAAGTCAAATATACAGTCGCGTGAAATTTTTTTCGAGAAAGGAAGGGAGAAGGATAACTTTCATAAGGACGTATCGTAGTATCAGTGATCTGTTCATAATTTTAACGATCTATTCATAATTTGTAAGATACTCGGATCCCCACGTTATTGATGGCAACTTAGTTGTTTACTTCCCTTTTTTTTAATCATGATTTAAAATCAGATGCAGCGTTATCAATCCTATAACCACTTTGTCATCATTTCTAAAAAGTAACAACTCCTCACATTTTCGAATTCAACATGCGAATATCTTAGTGTTTAAAAGCTACTTTAGTTCTTTCAGGAATGAAGGCGGCTCTCTGGCATCAGTCGGTATTACTTCGGGTAGTGTGTTGTGGTTATTAGTAAAACCAGTTTCTGGTAATAATGATCGTGAAGAGATTGCATCTTTAATTCGAATGTCTCAATCATTAGCTAATCTACGAAATTTAATTCGTTCTTTGCCATCCATCGACAGTTCTGAACCAAGCTTATCCGGGCAACTTTTATTTTTGCTGCTTTTTTCACTTCGCATCTATTTTATTTCTTCTAATCAGGTTTACTTAATTTCTTTCAGAAAGTAGCATGATCAGTTACACCAAACGCATTAAATCTCATCCTTCTCATCATTCAGATCTGGTGAATATGCTGAAGTCGTACCCTGCGGATACAGAGAAGCGGAGCATGAACAAATGCGAGAAAAAATGAAATTATTGATAAAGCGGAGAGAAAAGAGTCGACAGAATAGCGCAAAAGATTCGCCGGAAAATTCACGGCTAAAAATTCAAGAAATGCCTGAAAAAGAAGTAACTACCGACTCAATATCACAATCACCATCATCATTCAATAGTTCATGCGCGTAAGTCTTTTGGACATGTATCACCTCTTTGCCACGACATTTAAATATCTTTGAGCCTTAGATCAGTTTCTAGTACATGCAAGACCTCTATTGCTTTGTCACCATCCATTTCAACTCCAAAGGGTACTGCTGACATCATGAAACAGAAGGAATTAGCGACGTATTTCGATCCACCGGAAACAATCAAACAGCGAAAATTCGAAGAGGAGGAATTGTTTGATGTTCCATCAAATGAGAGCGAATTGCTTAAGGTGAAAGCTTGATTTTATCCAACCGCAGATAAAAAATCATTCATCATCCCTCGTGAAGATTTTGATGACAAAGATTTAATTCGTTTGGCAAAACGACTGCATCTTTTATATGGTTTATGTGATGATATGACTACATCGTCAGATATGCTTCACTGGATGAATGCTACCACTCTGCATTATGCAGTGGCAATTTTAGAAGTTTGCCGAAATTTTAGTTCTAATCCCAAGTTATTCTCGCTAAATTGAACATTTAGAAACAAAGAGATGACAGCATTATATATTGCTATATTAGAGATTTGTTGCAGATAAAAGATGAAATAAAAAATAAACGATGTAGTTTTTGTCGAATAAAGTTGAAAATAGCTGATAGAGAAATAAAATGCATATGTGGGCATATATTTTGCAGTAAACATCGCAACCCTCAGATGCACAGGTAAAAAACTTTATTTTGAATTTAGACCACGTTTATATATCCGCTTATCAGTATTGATAAAAATCCTTCTCTGAAGTATCAAAATATTTTGACGCTTATTCCTCTCATTCTTGATATGATTCATCAAAAAACAGCTACATGAGTTTGCTGTTCCTCGTACTATACTCAGTCAAAAGCCTCATTCTTTTTTGCGAAATTCTGCTTATCCATGAACTCCAGAAACAGTTTTTCTAATTTAAAAATTTTCATTTTTTAATTTAGTGTTTTAGATGCAATATTGATTTAAAATCAATCGATCGAGTATATGTCAGAATGGCGTTACCAAAATTACTACAAGACATTCCAAAATCGAAGATATAGCTTGCTAGATTTTTGCTAGTATTGAAATATATCAAACAAAGAATCCTATCCCCAAAAGCTGATTGTAAAATAATGCTGTTTTTATATACTCCCTTGGCAGAAAAACAATGTATACATATTTGAAAACTAATTTTATTTAAAAAATTGATTTTTCCACACCGCATGTAGTATATTTTTCTGATATCATTTACAATTTCTGATTAAGTTCTGTTAGTAGGCGTCTCTCATAATCATGTATGCATGCATGCAAACGTCGACCATAGGGATTCTTCTCTTCTGGTCCCCTAATATTTCTTGCCGGGACATATCTAAATGTTTTTTAGAATTTTTTATCACTTAGAAATCAGTTCTTTTCATCTACATCACATTTCAATTCTTAAATGATTTGAATAGGACTAAAGCTCAATCATATTCTCTTTCGGAATCCGAAAAACACGCTGTTTTCGCTAAAATAAACTTACTTCCTAAAAGCAACTTCCCAATCACCACAAGATTCATAAGCACTATAGAGAATTGATGTAACCGCGAGCAATGTCATACTTCTCGAACCTGATTTCCATCTGTAAAAAACCTGTATTTATTTTATATAAAATCTGGACTTTACACATAATTTTTCATTAGGAGCCTTTTGAAAATGATAGGATATGTGGGATAGTGAAATGTAAATTGATAAGGAGTACTTTAGGCACATACGATTATTTTCATGTTAGCAATTAAAGCAGCTTAAAAGAGCTTGTTTTCCTTGTTTCATAAAAATATGCGCTCTTGACAACTAAGAGGTAATTCCTTTTAGTATTTACAAAAGGACCAGAATTATCCCATGTTAATCTGGGAAGAACTTTTTTAGAAATCTGCCGCTATTTGATTCTTTTTGAATGTCAAAAGCAATGATCGTTAGAAATAAAATGCAACTAACTTGATATATCTGTCGATAGGAAGTCGACGCGCTTTGACTCCATCTTGCTTCGCAGCTAAGAACGTTGCATGTGGGTGCAAATGATGTTGCTTAACTCTGTCGACTATGCCACCCAAAACGTATGCTTTTGAGCCTTCCACCTGTACACGAAAGTAAGTTCACAGCTTATTTTTTTGATATTTAAATTATTTGGACTGCTTCTATATTTCAGTTTTAAAACATACCTCCTCCAAATCAAATTCTGCATGGGGACTTAAATAAATTATTTCATCAGAGGAGAAATAATTCAGATAACTAGATGATGAGATTGTGAGGGATATGTTTCTTGGTGAATTGACCAATGATAAATACCTGTAATTAAGGAAAATTGACCGCGCATTTTCAGAAATTTAGAGATATTTATTATAAGCCTTCATCAACAAAACTTAACCTATCTCGTCCTTCCAAAATCCTTTCGTTCTTCATATCAAAATTAAAAAAATAAAGGGGCCATGGGCGTCGACGGTCTCGATTTTCACTTGCCAAATAGGAAAGCTGGATTAAAGTTTGAGATAGAGCCTGCGGTGAGAGTTCATTTAGAAATCGACAATCAACCAACAGTGCAGGCTTTGGATCCAGTTGAAGATTATGTAAATGATTCATTAATCTTCGCTGATTAGCAATACGCTCTAAAGACAACATACAGAAACATACTGTAATATTAGGAAAATGAGATCTTTGATATTAACAAATCTATTTAAAATACTTTCAATTTGATAAACGAACATTGCCTCTTAAATGGTCGTAAAACCATATTGTGACGCAGAAACATGTGATAAAGACTGTCCTTGACATCGGGATATATTGCATAGAAGATCACCACACTAAAATAACATACTCCGTTGCGTGGTACCCACAAACATTGCAAATCCCGATGTAGGTTTCGAAGTTCTCATTTTCTCAGAAATTTTCAGTTGATGTTTCTTCTCGCATTTCAGCTCCTTTAATTCCTTCTGACGACAAAACTTGATATAATTGAACCGTTGCTTCTGAGTTTCACAGTAAAGCAACCTTTTCCAGTCCGCATCTGATAGACGCTCGGGAAAATAATTGTAACAACAGGACAGCAACTGCAACAGATGAATTTACCTGACATAATTTTGAATGCATGCATTTTTGTTTTGGCTTTTGCCTTGATTCATGAACACTGCATCAGCTTGTTCAAATTTCCTCAAAATCTGCGATCTATCAAACAGACAAAATATATTTTAATTGGAAGTATGACGAACAAAATCTACCAAATGATTCATCCAACACAGAATCTACAAAACTTTTTGCTTGTTTAGCAAAATCTATTAAAACAGTAATAGAACTCACTCACTGTTGTCTGAGATTGTCTAATTCGAAATTATTACTTTAGTTTAAAAACGACTTTTTTCTTTTATTTGTTACTGAAAGGATCTACCAATGATTAAATTTGGTACCGACATGCACTAGTGAACGTAAAGACTTGAATCTAAATAATAAAATAGAGAATAATAATTCAAAGCGATGAAGACATATATGGTAAGTACATACATAGTGCTTCGTCCGAAAAGCTTTTTGAATTTAAAATTCTCAAATCCAGACGAAAATTAACCAACCTTCACTTCAGTGATGATGCTTGAGAGTTGTTCTTGTTGCGACGCATTCAGTACTTCGATGAACTGTCGAGAAGGCAGAGATTTCAGCTTACTTTCAGCTCAAATTAAAATCAAATTAAATAGAATTAAAACCTTCTAAATATTTAAATTTGCAAAAAATTCGAACTTACTCCACAGCACTGGCCAGCGTGCATTCATTCCTAATGTCTTCTGCAGTTTCCATACCACTTTCCTCCATCCATTTCGGATAGTATTCAGATCAAGCTCCAAAAACTTTCTCCACATCTGTTTTTCATGTGCCTTAATTATATTTCCTGCACGAGTAAGAAGAATCAGAACCTAAAACTGATGATCAATTCCAATACAACCCAATTTTTGATCAATTGGTATCTGAAGCACAGAAGAAATATAGAAAGATGAAAAAATCGATGGAAATAAATCTGTTTTAACATATATTTCGGATGCAGAAACAAACAAATTTTTACTCTTTGCAAAATCAAGTGAAATTAATTACATTTAACAGTCAAAGATAACAAACAAACGATATTTGGCCAAATGTAATGCTTTTATATCACATGTATTTTATTTTACTATATGCATTCATATAGTAAAATGAAAATAGACATAAGAATTTTGCTGAAGGTCTTTTTGTTATGAACGGAAGAGGATTAATTTTGCTACCTTGAATGACAATTATAATTTTGTTCAATACGGAACCGACATCCCAAGTTAGTACAAAGCAAAATAGCTCTATCTTAGGAAATCGGATTTAGAAATACTATATTTTCTCCAAGATCAATTCTTTTCGGTCTCTTTTCCTACTTCATTCTTCACAATTTCCATTTGAGCTCGAAATTCCGGTATTCTCATAATTTTCTCAATTACATTTAGACGTACAGTGAGATTCTTCGGTAAATCTTCTTTGGTTCGTACTAATACACCACCTTTCAACGTCTTCCGAGACTCCGCTCTCAATAAAGCCTTCTTAGCATTACCTTAAAATAGAATTTTTGCAATTTCATCATGAAAATTTCAAAAACAAACAAAGTAAAAGAGATAAATATAAAGAAAAGTAACAAAATTCATCGCTCACTTGCAACGAATTTCCGCGCACATCCAGGAAGAACACCAAAAAGAACTGAAATATTGGCGGCATCATACGGTGCTCTGATATCAATCATTCTTTCAGCACCACTTGCTATCACAACGCCATTACCACCTTTTGTAGACATTAACAGCTGTCGACCATTTGTTAACACCTGAAACTAGTGAAAATGTTGAAATTTACGACCAAGCATTTGAAACAAAATTATAAGCATCGTTCAGTGTCAAAAAAAATTTTGTTCGGCCAAAGTTAGCTAAGTTATTAGCAAAAAAAATGTTCCTAAACACTTATTCCAAAACTCATATATTATAGCATTAATAATAAGATAAATACCTCCCGTCTTTGACTGCTGTCTTTCAAAGCATCGGCATAGGTGATCTCAAACGTTATACCATCATTAATACAAAGCTGAATAATCTGAAACAAAATTACATCTTATTATCACTTTGCACATTATTTTATGAATAGAAGTTTAAAAAGTGCACTTACCATTTGTACCATTTTGTCAAATTAAGTGAAATTTTGTCAAACTTCATTGGATCCTATAATTCACCTCCCCAGAAAAAATGAAACGTTGATAAAACTTTACTTCGGTAAAGCGGATTAAAGACCTTGAAAATTCTACCTTGCTTTTATTAAGCCAGCCAACAGATGTTGATGCCTGTTCGTAAGTGATAATATCGACAAAATCACCCTTCTTGCTTAGCGTCTGAAGGATTTGATCGTCTGATGGACGCACGGCAATCAAATCGTATTTTTTCAGCTGGGGATGATGCATTAGTAAATGAACCTCTGTGCTGTTTGATATTGTAGTAGTTAGACGGCTAAAAATATGAGATGAATTAAGATAGCGGTTCAACTAATTCACTGCTAAATCATTTCATTAAAATTCACGCATCATCATTATCTCTTTCAAACAAATCATAAGAACTATAACTTAAAAAAATCAAACTCTGCCACTACATCAAATATCGAGTTATATTTAATTGTAAAAGTCATTTTAAAAAAAGCAAAAGAAAACCATTCACTGATGCACCTGAAAATTCTAAGACGTTTCCCATTTGCTTCAAGCATACTGGTATCCAATTGGGAACAATCAATATTAACTGGATTTGGTATAACGTTCCGCTCTTTGCCACCTTTCTTCTTTTTCTTGTGTGGTGGTTCACCGCCCTAAAATTGCTGTCTAAAAAAGTTAGAAAGAATGAAAGGTAGCAAAGTTGATCAATTATATGCATTCATTTAAATGTCTACATCAATTTCGTAAGAACTCTCAAATTGATAACAACTTCGTTACCTGTATCAGGATAATTTCTAGAGCCTTATTTCACTGTCTCTAAGGTAGACAGCTGTGGGGATCCTGCAAGGAAAGACTTACTAGATTTACATCTTCCTGCATCATCTGCCCTATATCAGTATTAATTACAACACAGTCATAACCCATTCGCACTGCTCGACGTACCATTGCCATGGTTTCATCCATATTACCCGTATGCCTAATGTTCATTTCAGCAAATTGGAAGTGATCATCCACAAACGATGAAGACATACTCCTATAAAAATGCAATTACACTCTAAATCTCATTGATGTCAAAGCAAAGACACCAAACATCCAGGATCTAAGACTCATGCCTCTTAAACTTACCGAAATCATTAAAAAGGAAATGACGATGAACAAACACTCAGAATCCAGCTAGCAATAAAGAGACACATACTGCAAAAATGTGCATCTGCAGCAACATGGCCATATCATTAAATCAACATGGGCCAGAGTATAAAATGTGCAGATTAAATTAAATATAAAAATATAAAAACCTCACAATGAGATTCCTACCATATGTTTAACATGGGAATGGCGTCAATAAAGAAATCATGATAATACAATACCTGCATTTACTACTTTCTTTATATCGGATTTCATATAATTTCCGCAACAGCAGTGATATAACTTTCACGTAACGCTAGGAAAAACATTTTATCCAAAATTTTTATTTACAAATTAACAAGATAGATACAATGAAAACCAGTTACACTGCTGAAACCTATACTGATTCTTTCATCACTTTATAAGTAATGGAAGAACAAATTGTAAAAAATGTCAAAACTCTGTTACTGTTATAATATGCATTTGCTTCAATCATTTCTGTAATTCTTGACAAATTATCAAATTTTAGCAGTTTTGCTTATACAATCGAGAGACTTACTCTTATAACTGAGGATCTTTTAAAAGCACAGCGAAAATATCGGTAGTAGTTAAAATAAAAAGAAATTCATTATCAGCATGAATGCCAGCAATATTCTCCGTGACAGCGTTAGCATCGCAAAATTCAGAAGATTTAGATAAAGATATCAGCTGCTGCTTAGCAACTCCAGCAACTCGACGGCCTGTTTTCCGATTCCGCAAATCTGAAGAGAATTAACTTTCATAAAAGTGCCTTAACATTTACTTTGCTCTGCACAATGGATATGGATAACAGATACCCGAAGTTATTGTTGATGGTTGCCAATAAATAAATGCATGTCGTTTTCCTTCAACAATAACCGCATAAGAGCAATCAGCTGGGCAGGTGCTGAATTTTCGCTGCGTTTTAGACGCCTAAAAAGTATTCCAAACTTAAGCGGATTACTTATTTTCAATGAGAAAGTTGTTAAAATATACATGCCATAAATTAATATTTTAAGGCATCCCATCTTTTTAGTATTGGAAAAATCACTCTGAATCTCGGTATCCCCATATCATTTGCTACAATGAAAAGCTTCGGTTTTCACTTTTTTATACAGAGAATAACAAACACCGTAAATTTTACTAAAAAATTAGTTTTTGCTGTTTTGTATGTTATTACAAACTTTTATGGCTTGTCCATAGGAATCACAAATTAACAAATTTTTACAACAGACAGCATTCAAACTCGATATATACCTGAACGTATCCGAATGCATTGAATGTTGCGTGATGTTGAACTTTTCTGCTTTCTTCCGTAAATTTCCATAAAATACCATCAACGTCCATGCGGATACAAAGAAAACGTGGTCCAAAATCCAAATATACAGAAAACAAGATATTGTGTGTTGTTATATCACTCTGTAAATACATATCATTTAAAAAATAAGGTACAGTGATCGTATCAGTACCATTTGAACTCAACTTTTTATTTTATGTTTCATTACTAATTATTAGTAATATCACTGCCTTTATTAGCAAAAAGAATGCTAATGATAGAGAAAAAACGTAATAGCTTTGATAGAAAACTAGTTTTAGATCAAACGTCTTAAATCTTAACTAAACTGATAGAGATGATTACCTCATACTCTAACTTTTGTGATGCACAATTCAACCAACGAATTTTGCAAATGTCATCCGTACTGATATCACAATCTTCCATTTGTTCGATGTTGAAATTTTGATCAACTCCGCCATTACTAAGAGCCTGAATGGCGCATTAAAATTATAAGAAAATTTAAAGACAGAATTACAACATTAGCCAAAAGGAAAATCTAATATCCATGAAATATGTTATTAATGTTGCTAAAACCTGTGATTCGGATGTGAAGCGCTCCAGTATCTCCGAAGTAATACTCAATGATTCAGGATCAATTTCATAAACGCCTTGATCGTCACTCAGCACCAATTCCGACCAATTAGTTAAACCACCTTCACTTTTAGCCAGAAAGAGTTCTAATCTCAAGCAGAAAAATTGTATTGTAGAACATAATAAGAAAAAAACGAAAAATGAATATTCCCAATATAAACCAGTTTAAAAAATCGATGAGACATAAGTGACAATAAACACCAAATGATGTAGTAGACTTGGAAAACACACTAATTAAATTAGTATCGTTACAACAATAAGTAACTTACTTATTATCATCGATAGTGTAAGTTGATGACGCTGGATCAACTGAGCCACCAAGAATTCCACCGATAAGTATTATACCTTTCACTGAAAAATGAATAGATGTCGCACTCAGCGATAAGGAAACATCTTTTTTTGAAATTGTCTCATCACAAGTAAATACTGCTGTCACATCAGTTCCTGTTTGAGACCAAGCATATCTTTTCTTCGTTGGCTTTGCAGCTTCAACACCTGGAAGTATCAAAAGATTAGAAACTTTATACATTTTATTGAACCCACTTGAAATGCAATCCAATGAAAAATCTCTCAAAAAACTTTTACCATATTCTTTCTTCATTTCGTGATCTGCAGTATCCGATATATTTGCTCCATTCAAACAGAAACTTAGATCTCCAGTACTAACAACAATTAAGCTTTCAGGTAATTTGTCGAATGTGACCATTTCAGTGTGACCAGTGCATATGATGCTGCGAATCTCCGTTATCTTCATTTTTTCAACTTCTGAAGAAAAATAAACAGCATAAGATGAAACACATCTAACGGCTAGAAGCACATGGGTTTAAAGTTTGAGAATTTTATCAAAGTTTCCTTCAATAGTAGTGGCTTCTTCTTTGCGTCCCACGTGTCTTATTCTGACTAGATAAAAAAATCTTGTAAGGCTATGAACGCACAACGTATGAAAACATATCGTGATCAACGAATTTTTGGAAATCTAATCAAGACAAAAAACTGACCCCTGATAACGGTTAACCAGACTATTTTGTTTGAAAAATTCCCTTGATTTGAAGATTTATTGCTGGATACAACAGATCGTAATAATACGTCGAATTTATTTTCCATATAACGGCTTTCAATAATAATAAATGAGCTTACTTTACCATCAACAATAAGCGGCTCGACACTTAAACATTCCTAAATCAAACGCACTTACACATTCCAAAAATCAGAACAATGCACTATAAATAGGAAAAGAGAATGCTAGTATGAACTCTTCATAATTTCGAAAGTTCATGTCAGAAAAAAAGGGACTAAAATGATTAAGACAACCTCCCAAGCTGCCGCATTGTGCCGGTCACCCGTAATATACATTGTCAGACGACCAAAGCCATTAGATACAAAGGCATGGTTAGCATTCGGAAACGATATTGTGATTGGGTATCGATCTTGTATTTCTTCTTCATCATGTGGTATAGTAATGACTGTATGATTGTTGCTAACTGAGAATTTCTTTGTCTGTAAAATTTTGAGTAATAAATTAAACCAACCTCTTTAAGAAGACTTGCAAACAAAATCAGATGATCGGTTTAAAAAATGATCGGTTTAAACACTTATTTTCGGTTTTCAAATGAAGGTTTTCGTGAAACCTTGGAATTTTTTGCTAAAAATTGAATGTCTCTTCTGTCGTTTATTATCATTGTTAGCCAAAAGATGACGTGGGTAGTTGCGATGGGAAATATCGACAACTGTTAACATATGCAACTGATTTACAAGTATCAAACTTTCTGCATAAACAAGATACTATTATCTAATTATATGATTAAAATTTTATCTAATTAAAAGTACATAATAATATATAAGAAATTGTTTAAAAATAATATAATACATATAAAAATCCGATAATCATTATCTAATAAGGCGCAAAAAATTATCCAGATATCTGATGTTTGATCCAGTTAAAAGTAGCTGAATCTGACAAACTGAAATTTCATTTTTTAAAACAATAAAAATTATTAGGAAATTGAAGAAGACTAAAAAATATGCACTAACAATTTGATTACCTGAATATCAAAAGTGATCAAGCATAAGTGAAGGTCCTGCAAAACAGTCACGAATCGCCTATGTCCAGAATCGGATGCATGAGGATCGTATGTTAGATAATTGATATCGCTAAACAGTTTGATATGCTCGAATCCATATTGAATATTGCTTGTTTGCAACTCACGCACTAAAAATATTTTTTGGTACATCAATTCGATCATCTATTCAACTATTGAAATACTACTAAAGTGTTTTGATCTTCATGAATAACAAAATCTATCACAGTCATTCCCACTTCAAAAATTTCCCGGCTTCGAATTTGATATCAGTGATTTTTCTATGCAAAAATCCCTTATATTATATAATTATATTAATTATTATTATCAGTATCAAGTGGTGCTTCGGGATAAAGGCTAAGCAAGATCACATTATCATAAAAACGAGGGAATTAGAGTACTTCAATTAATATAAGCAAGAATGTACAACGTAGTAGAGAAAGAATAGACCTGGAACTTCTAGGGGATAGCTGTAAATAGGAAAAGGATCAAGCGAGAGCTTATAACCATCAAAATTAGCATCCAGCAATGCTGGATCCGGTTTAATATCGATGAAACTTTCTGCTATCAAACCCATCAGATTCGAGAAAGCCTAAAATTCAATGAAAACAATTTTCCAAAATATATCTAAGCAAGTCAAGAAGGTAGACAATTCAGAAAGGATAGTATTTGCTGGTTTTCCGGTTCCGTTATCGTCAACTACACCCCGTACATCCAACGAAAACTTGCCAATTCCGTCAAACCCTCGCACCTCATCTACTTTCAATATAAAAAGTCTCGCTGCGACAATCCAAAGATCTTCCTTATCTCTAACCCAGAAGAAGAGCAATAACACTGTATTCTTTCAATCTCTTTCTCAACTATTTGCACTCCCTTCTGCTCTTTACATATCTTACCAACTCTATTCGCCTTTTTTGAATTTAATCAAATTTTGAAATGATAAGTTTGATTTTGTTGAAAAATAATTATATTAGATATAGCTACTAAGATATTATAAAGTATCACTACCATTCCGGAAACAGGCAAAAAGGATCGATTCCGGAAAAGGTTCAGCAAAATTTTCGGTGCTCATTTTTAGTTTTGAAGATGCTATCCAATGGAGTATTATTAAATTTGCTGATATGATTACAGATATGATATCCTAACAAATAATTGGATGTTTATATTTGTGTATATTACTTCCTCAACACTATTAACGAATAAGAAGTTCCATTCCATCGATCTTAATCATTTCTTATAAATTGATACGGCTCGGTTCAAATTAATTTATGTTTAAATTAGTTTAAATTATTTCAAATAAATAATCAGCCAATATTCACAAATTTTAGGAATATATTTAATGGTAGTAATAATATTAGCATACACTTTCTCGAATTTATACATTTTTAATTGAAAGGCATATTAATAGATTTAATTATCTTCTCATTCTTACTTTACTTTAATTACTTATATCTTTTATTGTTTTAATTTGATAGACTGATTTCATGAGTAGTTACCTGAAGTTGTATTGTTGAGAGAAAATACTTTGTTAAAAACCATACAAATCAAACGTTTTCTTGTTTCTCTCTCTCTCTCTCTCTCTCTCTCTCTCTTTCTCTCTAAAAATATATTATCCCGTATGTCAGATGAGGATTAATCTTATACATGGAAAAGAGAGCAATGTGTTTTAAATGAATTTTCAAAATTAGGTTAACCATATAGCAATGACCTCATTAGAGAGTCACTGATAATATTGTATTATCATGAAATATTATTACGAGCGGAATATCTTTTTTCAACGAACTATGGATCATTCAAGTTGTTAGAGAATAACATTATTTCTTTTATCTTTCCGCTTTTAAAAATTCTTTTTAAATTTTCAAACTCTTTAAATGACACTAAATAATCTTTGAATTGCTATTGCAGGATGATTTTCAAATTAAAAGAATTATATATTGAAGTTTAAAGGTCAGAAAAAATTTTAGCATATTGTATTTATCAAATACTTACTAACAGATAGCTATTTTTACTCTTACCTTAGCTTTTAAAATTAAGCTAACATAATGAATTGGAAGCCAAGAAATAATAAGTGAAAAGAATAATAGTAAACTTTACTAGGATTTCAAACAAAAATTAATAATTGAATAATTAAGAATAATTAAATAGTTATGCTAACTAAAGAAAAAAAATTGATCAAAGCTTAAAATGATCAGCTTAAATTGGGAATAAATTTAAAAATGTAAAATTAATTAGGACAAATAACTCTTAGTTATATAATTATCAGAAGTTGAATGATTAATCTATCACTATCAAATATCAAATGAGACCTTTGATCTGTTGTTGATATGATGAGATTATTTCTAGGATGTAATAGTGATACAAATGGAAGATGAAATCCTCCCTACTCCTACAACAAGGTCATTTCCAGAGTCCTTCACCCAAACAATCATCAAATGAATGAGACTGACTGCATCCATCCTTTTTCAATTTTCCTTTGCGCTTCTATGACAACAATCACTAATGGATCATACAACTTCATGATCATACGGCAATTCTGATTCTTTTATGCAAATGATTGAAAATCTATACCTCAATCATTACTTCCAAATAATATACAATATTTTGAGGTCATTGAATTTCATCATCCTTCATTAAATTCGTAAATTTCGCCAATTGTTTTTTTCATTGATAGCAACTGAATAAGTCAGTCTTTTGTTTAATTATCTCATTTGTTCCATTTATTTGTTCTAATTATTTAATGAATGAAATTTGTGTGGAAAGAATATAAAATTATTTCCACTTTATTACGATGGATTCTTCAACCTTTTTCTTTTTTTTGAAATTCTTTGGAAAATATTTCAGGTAATCAATAAATTATTAAATATACTTATTGCTTACAATTTTTATCTCAAATGAAAATATTATTTAAAGGATTACTTTTCTAGGATTGATCATAGTTTCCTTTTTTAGTAATTGATCTGTTTATTGATTATACTTTTCCAGGATTGATCATAGTTTCCATTTTTAGTAATTAACCTGTTTATTGATTATACTTTTCCAGGATTGATCATAGTTTCCATTTTTAGTAATTAACCTGTTTGTTGATTATACTTTTCTAGAATTGATCAGTTTCTTTTTTTAGTAATTAAACTGTTTATTGATTTTACTTTTCCAGGATTGATTATAGTTTCCTTTTTTAGTAATTAACCTGTTAATTGGTTTTACTTTTCTAGAATTGATCATAGTTTCCATTTTTAGTAATTAACCTGTTTATTGATTTTACTTTTCTAGATTTGATTATAGTTTCCTTTTTTAGTAATTAACTTGTTTATTGATTTTAATTTCTTTTTCAGCTAAAATGGATTAAATTTTTCAAATTTAAATTTCTTATCATCAATATGCTAATTTATTACATTCATTTTTCCCATCGTTATAAATTTCGAATTCATTCCCTTTTTCCTTTTATGATACAAATCAAATTTGATATTGAAATTTAAATTGTTAGCAATAGCGCAAAAGTCTTTCAATAATGATGAACATATCTTCAATTCATATTCATATTACTACTGTATATGCCGAATACGACAACCGGAAATATTGTTTCTCTCACATTCATCTTTTTGCATATTATTTCTTTTAATCAAAAATTGAATTACTTAATAATGCGCAATTCAATTGCAATTATGTTTGCTACTAAAGACATTTTAAAAAGTTGTGAAATTTTAGGAGCTTTAATAAATAACGATTTAAATAGCTTCAGTTGTTTGAAACTGTTGTCCGTAAATCTGAGAGTGGAAAAAGTAGTATTAAATAATTTATTGTTTACTCTATAAATGGAGTTAATTTGAAGCATTACTTATTCAAATTCTTAATTAATTAATTAATTACATTATATTTGATTCACAGATGACCTTCATCATATATGGATATATAATGAAGAATAGTTTAGTGATGAAGACAGCCATTTAAAACTAAATTTTCAACACAATCATCAAAGATGAGATCGCTATTGTTTATTATTTGTCAGAGAATATGTGAAATGTAATTTACTTTACTTTTTACTATTCCTTCCATCTTTTGCAATTGTCCTTGACCGCAATAGAACCTAAAAGAAATAAGGGAAGAAAACCGAAAACTACAACAGTAAGTTGGAAATTTTTCGTTGTTAATAGAAATGTAATAGTTGAAAATATAAGAAGGTGGCAGCAAAACTTCTTTATACCTTTACCTTTATTAATTCATGCAACTTTTAAATTAGGTTTGAAAATGGCTAGTCTCTAATTAGATCTTTACATTAATAAGCAAACTCTTTATGTTTGATAAATTTATTAAAATTTTCAATTGAAAATTGGAAGGTGGAAAAGTCTCATGAAATTCTCTTCTTTTTCTTTCCTTAAATGAGAAAAAGAATTGAGTGAAATTGTTTTATACAACAAAAATATCAGGTATAATTAATTAGAAGATACGCGGATAATCTTTTAATTTGTTTTTTACCAATTTTCAACTGCAATTGTTAAACTTCTCATATTCGATTATCAGTTGGAAAAGGTGATTTGTAAGATTTTGCTAAATAAATTTAAAATTGTCACATCATTTTTGACAATAAAAGTTTCATTGGCTAATTAGACATTGATCAATTTTTCCCTCAAATACGATGACCAATTTTCCCCATACAGCAATAAAAACTTCTACTAATATCATATGATTATCAGTGTGATTATCAGTTGGCGGAAAAGAAAAGAAATGCTGTTACTTGTGTACATTAGCGAATGATATGGAAAAGTAAAGAGATGGTAAAAAATTATTAGCTGTCGTAAAAGTTGTTGTGAAAGTAGCATTTTTTTTTTTCGCGGTTTGGAGTAAATTTTACCAGAATATTTGGGAGTTAACTTCAAATAAGGCAAGATATACCGGGGCAAAGATACACTGAAGTTGCTATTTCTTACAACAATGTCACTGAATTTTTCAACCGATTTTCGTTTTCTTTCATTTCATTGTATCGGAGTAGGACTTTTTAATGAACATCCATTATTTTGATGAACTTTGATCTTTGATCAAAATTTGAATATTTCAATTTCATTTTAAAGGCTACATTGAATCGATTTATATTGACATAATTAAAAGTCAAAAATATATCAGCATGAATTATTCAGAAAAGGAAGAAAAAGAAAATTACATATCCATTTATGTTAAAATAACATATTTAGTAAAATGCTTTTCAAAATTGTAAATTAACTTGATAATTAATGAAAATGATAGAATCGGTTGTGAATTGAAATATCTCAATCACTATGATAACAAGCATTTAGCCTTTCCTGCTATTCCGATCTCAAGTAAAACATAAGTAACTTTAAATCATATATCTCACAAATATAAATTATCAAATCAATTCATTGATATGGACCAATATATAAGTGGTATTATTTTATTATTCATTTATTATTATTAATTATTACAATTATTGTTATTACTACTATTATTTATTTATTGTTATTATTATTTATTGCAATTATTGTTATTTTTATTATTATCGATTTATTATGATTATTATTTATTATTATTACTCAAAAAGTCGCTTCTTAAATCTTTTGATAATTATTGCAATTATTGTTATTACTATTTATTTATTATTGCTATTATTTATTATTACTATTATTATTGTTTATTATTTATTATTATTTATTATTTATTATTACTATTATTTATTATTATTACTCAAATGTCGCTCCTTAAATCTTTTTGATAATTATTGCAATTATTGCTATTATTTATTTATTATTACTATTATTTATTAATACTATTATTATTGTTTATTATTTATTATTACTATTATTTACTATTATTACTCAAAAAGTCGATTCTAATATCTGATAATAATTGTTAAAATATGAAGAAACCTTCTATCATTTTCTTTTTCATCCCTATTTAGAGTTCATTTTGCAGAATGTACTGCGATTGTGAGATTGGCCTTAATATGAAGCTTATGTAAAAGACTGATATTATTAGACTATAAGCTAATTAATCACTTTCAAATTTCATTCCATTAATTTAATATTTTTCCCATTATCTAACTCATATCTTTGATTTGTTTGAAAAGAGAAGAGAGAATATTTATTATAATTTAGCGCTTCTTTCCTCTAACCAATACGAACAATTACCGCTTTCTGTTCATTGTAAGACCAACCACAATCAAAGTGATAAAAGCTAAATTGATCAATCATTCTAATTAATAAATGCATGTATGCTATTTTGATTTGGTATGCTTATTCATTTAGCGAAAATTGTTTTTATCTATTAAATAATCTATAATTGTGCGGTGATGTGTAGAGAATATGTTAATACATTTAGCGCACAAAAGAGGACAAAGAGGAATAAAGAACGCCACAGTGCAACAACATGCAATCAACAATGAATGAGTAGTAAGTGCATTGATACTCATTGCGCCCTCACTACAGGATCATTCACAGTTATATTCATTTACAATTCTAACAAATATTAATAACAAGAAAAAGATGAAATGATGAAGCTGTCATTTTCCAAATGACAGCTTCATCATTTCATTATTTCTTTGTTTTAAATATTTGTTTTAATTTACCATAACTTTTTCATTTTCAAATTTTTTATATTCAAATTTTGGCATATAAAACAGAGAACGCCAAAAATAAATCCTGATATATAAACGCACGCACACAAACACACACCCACACCCACATATACACACACCCACATACACACACACACACACGCACATACACGCACCCACGTACACACACACCCACACATACACATACACACATATAACAGGGATAAAACTAGTCGTAAGGTCATAGAATACTTTTGGGACCAAAGTATCCATCATTTTAGAATTCACTTCACTTTTGGAAGTTAAATTTTGAATAGCTGTATGTGTATGTGTATGTGTATGCGTGTCTGTATGTATGTGTGTATGTGCATGTGTGTATGTGTATGTGTGTATGTGTGCATATATGTTTTATCTATACTTATATAGAAACTGCATGTTCATCATCCCTATCCATTTGGTTCTAGAATCAATTTTTACTACTTGTTTGTGATAGATTTTTGGTGAATGAATGTCTGAGACGATGGCTGAATGCTTTTTACTAAAAAAGATCATTGAACACATATTTCATTCTTTACTACTCTTTCCGTTCCTTTTAACTTTTATGAAATCAAAATTTCCGGATGATTCATTTTATTTTCCTGATCGCTTATTTTAACAATACATCAGTTATTAAAAGTTTCATTTATTCTGTGTAAATTTTTTTTTTTGTAATTAAATTAAAATAAAGTAATTTTAGCATTAATTAATTAATTGATAAGATTTCTAATCCATTATGATTAGTTTTGTATACAAAATGAAAGAGGCCTTGAAGTGTTTAATTTTAAGCTAAATGTACCGGATCAATCGACTGACCGATCGAACGACCGAGATAAGCTTCACATTTCTTTAATGTAATGCAAATTTGCTCACTACTGCTTGCACGCAATGACATAATTTTGCATGCACATCAATTGGTTGCACACAACGATACGATTGCATTAAGCAAACATCTTATCTCTCATTTGTAGTAAAATTTTTTGTAACATTGCTTTTGTTACCTTATCATTGCAATGTTTCGCTAAGTTTGATAAGTGAAAGATTAAAAAATGAAAAAAGAAGACAATACCTTATTTCTTCACATTTGTTTAAATCTTATCATTATTATATCTATCTCAGATTTATAACAATTTTATTTCTTTTCCAGTTTACAGATATAACTGATAACGAGTCTTTTGAAATAATCGTTTCATCTCAATATCTTATCAGTATGCAAAATTTTCTCTTTTCAAATTTGCAAGTATTTTTTAATTTTACAATCTTACTTTCAATAAGTTAGATAATGGTATTCCTTAGATTTTCCAGTTTAGAGATATAAACTGATAAAGAATCTTTTGAAATAATCACTTCATCTCAATATCTTATCAGTATGCAAAATTTTTTCTTTTCAAATTTACAAGTATTTTTTTAATCTTACTTTCAATAACTTAGATGGTTACACTGTCCACTTTACCAATTGAGGTATGAAAATTTGAATAAAAGAAAAATTAGCCTTTTTTGGAAAAATGATAAGGTTGAAAATAAAAGAGCGATTTTTTGAAAATTTACTTCGAAGCTGTGTTTTTTCCTTCTTATCATCCTTTTTCTACAAAATTGCAATCATATTTCTTGGAAAAAATTGAAGTTTATTTTCAGGTCGTATTACAATATTCAAATTAACAATAATATTTTAGTTCATTTCACTTTTATCATTTATCATTTCAGACATCTTTCAAGATCATCCTACATAACGGTGAAAAACAAAAATGGTTTTAAGCGATACAAATGTTTGTTTTCATTCACTGGATTTCTATCTTCATATTCTTTTAAATTAATCCATGAAGCAATACGTCGTATATCTCGTCACTCGTATCGATCATATCGCTGATCATTTGGATTATGGAAAAAAACTAATCGTTGATTTCCTTTGAATTTCTATCGGAAAAAATTAGAGATAAACATGAAGAATGATCTAATCTATTGAGAATCAACTCTTCGTAATAATTCAATCATTTCAGAATCACAAATTTAATAAACAAACCGACGAGACTAGTAGTGATGGCGATTCTACAGCAAATGGTTATTTGAAATTTTCAAAAAATTATTCAATGAAAAAAATCTTTTATTATTCTACTTTAAACTTGACAAATTTAATCAAAATTTTCAACGTAGCAATAGATTTGAAAATTGAAACTATTTAGAAATCAGTTATGGTCCAGGTATAGTTCAAAAATTATGTGCTCGATTTTTGCAATTATCCAAAGAGCCCAATACTGTACCACCGTTACGATCACCACGTTTTAAACGACGAAAATCATCTGCAGAAAATAACTTTACTGTAGTTAGTGAAATTCGTCGTTGTAACACACAAACTCTTACTCGCTCAAAACCTACTACGTTAGTTATTTTCATAAATTTCAGTAAATTCGTAATATTTTCCGAATTTTAAAAATACAATTAAAAAGTCGGATTTTTTATAGTATTAATAATTTGAAAAATTAATTAAACTTTCAAAATATTTTTAATAATTTGATTTGTAATTACAGAAATAAGGTTCTTGTTAATGCGACAAAAAATGATACGAACTCTTGCGATGGACAAAAATGTGAATCACATATTATACCAGCGGTAAAGTATACTTCTTGAAAATATTTCAAATATTACAAAAGAAAACGAGAAAACTTATCCTGAGAACATTCTGATGACATATGTGCTGCGATAATTTCTTTCCTAAATCGATTCAAATATTATTTATTACAGATGGTTGGTACGGTAGAATTGAACGGTACCTATTTATATCATGCTACCGTAATTCCTGATGATATGAAAGCGAATCGTAAAGCAAAAAAAATCGAATCAATACGAGAAAAGTTCGAAAAAATTTCTGCTACTTCATCTATTTTTCCACATAAAAAGGTCTATCGAATTATCATTCATGTATTATTATTTCGGATAAATACTACAACCAATTCTTTCCCATTCTTTAAATGATTTTTTGTTTCTTAAAATTTCTTTTGTTTATAGGTAAATAAAGTTTGTTTTCGACGAGGTTGCAGCCTGCTAACTGCGAATACCGAATCACCAAGTAGACAACCGAAATCGACAAAAATGCCGGAAGAAATTCGAACAGCTCAGCATGATGGTATCGCACAAAAAATTTTTTTTGATATATCAAGATTTGAAGAAGTGCAAATGTTTAGATTAATTTCGCTCAAAAATTTTATTCATATTTTTCAGGTTATAAATGGAATCGAAGGTTTTTTTAGATTATCAAATTATAATCTTTTTAGAAAGTTTTGAGATAGAACGAGACAAAAGCAACATACAACCATCAGTTTCAAGCGATACAGTAAGGGTAGTGGTGAAATTATCACCGCCTGACGATAATCCAACTGTCACAGAGCTTTCAACAGCACCAACTATTTCATCCTTGCCAAACTCCGATCATTTTCAGGTAATTTTGCATTTCAACAAATATAAATAACACCATGTAATATACTATCAATTATCATAATTACACTAACATTTCAATTATTATTATTATTATTATTTATGAAATGGCAAATACAAATAGCTCTCTAATATGGCTTCTTTAACGTAATATAACCACTTTACTGGCAATATAATTATTATGTTCAAACTTAAAACGATTAAATTATTCTCTATTTTATTACCGTCACATCTTTTTCACTTTATGCTCTAATTTAATCATTTTACCATAAATATTATAGTATTTAATCGTATATAACTGCTATAAATCATAATCATAAGTGATATATGCGCATAATTGCTATACATATCCATAAAGCAGGAAGAGATGAATAACGATCAGATAGAAAGGATTGAGAAGGAAGTTAATGATGAATTAAGCCCTAATAGATCATCTCAATTCGATGCCATTTCCAGCATTACAATCGCTACCAATACTTCAGGTAATTTTATATACCTAAGTCTAAATCTAATACTTCTCTCAAATCTTTCATCAAATCAAATCAAAACACAATCAATGCTTACATCACAAATACAATGAGCTTTAATTACCTGACAAAAATGGTGAAGAATTAAGTAGAACTGATCTTTTTTTTCTTTATCATTATTAGCAACTATAAAGTCTAATCCATTATTTTATATGAATGCAACAAATTTATAATTTTTCGTTGTAATTAACACGATAGAGTAATTAATTAAGCTATTATGACTGTAATAAACATTCCACATTTTGTATAAACACATTTTTGTGTAGCTAATTAATTTGTAATTATTATTTTAACATTCTACATTTGCATAAATACCTGTTCTCATTTAAAACTATCATTTTAAATATTTAATTTCGTCTATGATTGTTAATTGGCTTTTAATACGAGTTCATCTGAAAGAGCTTTGATTTTTTTTATTCGTTTGTTCATTTTTTTTGAGACAGCAATTTCAATTGATCTGAGTAGTAATTAGTAGTATAATTAATATATCGAAAATTTAACGATTCGTACTTTTCAATTTTATCTTATTGCAAGTGAGAGTCGTTTGTAATCTTAGTACCATAACAAAATTGCCAACTTTTTTCTTCTTAATTAAACGAGCAGAATAATGTAATATTTCTACTTGGTAGGATTTACCAATAGGAAAGAAATCAAATCGGACTACTTCTTGTGAGATTGAGTTAGATAAAATCGTAAATCAACAGAACTTCCATGATTACGAGCCTAAAGACCTCCTGTGAATTACCATTTCGCAGGAATAATTTTCCAGTCCGAAATACTTTCTATTGATTTTTTTCGTTACAGTGAAATGAGAAGTAATCGAGGAGTGTGCGAATGTACCAGATTTTTTGCTGCTAAATTAATAACTAATTCAATTTTATAATATTTTAACAAAAGTTCGAAATGTGGAAAGGTAAGAAGATAATTTAATTATGTTAATTTGCAGCTAAAATACCTGATAGAAAGCAAAGCGAACAAAATGGCTTACAAGAAGTACATTGTTTGCTAAAGAAATTTAATGCAATTCGAGAACAACGAATCAAAAAATATGTCCATAAGGATATGAGCGATAAAGCAGACAATCGGCAATGGTATGATATGGATGATCATCACGACCTGTTGATGCAATTACAGGTAGCAACTAAATTAGATTTTGGAAAGAACTTACTCATTCAGTTAACATTTATCTCATGTCATTCAATTTTATATTTTAGAAGGTTAAAATTTATACGGTGACGTAAGTTAAATTTCCGTTTATCTAACATTGCCTAAAATTTTACATTTCTATTAATATCAAACATTTGATATTTATTTACAGATAGAATCATATTCTCCTAAAATTGCTTCAAAAATATAAAATATTTAGATTACTTTAGTTTAAGTTAATCGTGTTTTTAAACTTTTTTAAGTACCAGAATGCTTCTCCAATTTCAATTCCTCATTCGCACTCATCTTCGGATTCTGATTCCGGTTTACATTTGCTATATAAAGAGAAGAAAGAATGCTTAAAGAAGATCAACTTGAACAACGGAATCAATGAATTAGGATTAATGGAATCTAATCTTCAATCTATTTCTCAAAAATTTCATTCAGGTAAATCTTACAATCTAAATATATATTATATATTTATTAATATAATATTCCAATGATTTATTGGCTTATTTTATCATTTCATAAGAAATATGAATGAAATGGTGTCTAACGTAGAATATATATATATAATATATAATGAAATGGTGTCTTGATTATATATATAATCAATCTATCTATCCAGGAGACGTCTCATTAATTATTCAAAAAAATTTTTTAGAAAAGAAGATTCTTCAGCTGTGTAATCGAAAACAGGATTCATTTTTTATAAAATATTTTCAAATATTTCAATATTCTTTTGCGTCATCACACAAATATTCTCCTCTTTAACATATGATTAATTTCATTCATCCTAAAAACGACTACATACATTTGCGATATTTTATGAGAAAATAATTCAGTCTTAAAAAAATTTAAATGAAACAAATGAAGGGAATAATCTCTGAACAACAACTATACCATTATTATAATTAGTCTAACAAATGTTTTTATAGTAAAGACTAAATTAAATTGAAAGTGATGTTTGAACAAAATTGTGTTAATGTTTTATATTGTAGTTGGTATTGATTGTTAGCTGTTTTAACATTGCAATGAATCAAATTTATAAAATTTCTCTTTTTCATCATTACTTTTCTTTGCAATAACATCCATCTCATTTTCCTTTATTTTGATTTCCGAATTTTGAATTATAGTTGAAGTTGAAATTTTTTACGAAATAATAAACTAAAGAAAATGGTTGTGAGTAATGTAATCGATTTCGAAGTAGTTCTTTAAAAATCATTCCAAATAATTTTGAAATACTTTTTAGAAGTAATTATCATAATCAAAGATTCCAGAATAAACTTTCATTTTGCATCTGAATTAGTTAGTTCCATGCAAATAATTCATCTATTAATGATTTATAGAAGATTAATGAGGTTTAGAAATTAAGCATTATCTTTAAATATTATCTTTGATGAATGATAGTAAATAGGCTTACTACTTATTCATTGAAGATAATATTTGAAGTAATTTTCGGCAATATTAGTGGAATTCAGAAGCTACAACGAATTGTTCTATCTTTTGGATTGAAAGATTAATAATAATTATGTGAATAAATGATTATCATTTAGGTAAATAGTTTGTTTTAGTAAAGATTGTTTAATTTTCATTTTCAAATTATTGCTAAATAAATAAATAAATATCTTGAAAAGAATATTGTTATGTTGTGTAGAAGTGCAAACAGTATTTTAACTAAAGGAAATCAATTTGTTTAATATTAGTAAGAGAGATAAGTAATAAGATGATAAGAATCAGTTTATAAGATTTGTTATAATTTTGATAGCTAATTTTTATTCCTGATAATATGCCTAATATTCTTTGGAATTCATATGCTTCTTTAAAAGTTTCATCCAAAATTGCTCCACAAAAAGGAATTACAATAAATATCTGTTATCAGTAGTAGCGGATACTAAATTTATCATTTAAAGCATTAATACTACTTTTCATCGCTAAAGTAATTATTGCATTTTCGACGAAAACGAGAATTATTTGATGAAGTGAGCTTATCATTATTTATCTTTATAGTTACTAGAAAAGTTTATCAATTTTTCACTGTTCCAATAGCTATATCACTATTTAATTAGTTGTTACATTTTCTGAAATCATTTCATATTTTTCAATTTCAATTAATTCCTTCCATTCTTCGAGAGTTTGCCATATTTTATTCAGTGCAATAATTTTTATTCTTTTCTGGATAACGAAGAAATTTGATATCTTTCTCGATCAATGAGGAGCTTATCGAAAGGATAGAATGATAAGAAGTAGATTGTTGCAATCTTGTAAAGATTGCCATAGTTGATTATCAGAGTGAAGCAATTAGAGTAGCAAATGATAAGTGATAACTGTTAAGAAAAGAGGAAAATGAAGAATGATAAATGTGAATAATGGTAAATGATATTACAACGGTGAATATATCACTATTTTATAATATTAAAATGAAATGAAAACAAATTTGTGATGAAGTGCAAACTGTATTGTGTGATATTCGATTGCTTACTGTGTTGATATAATTGAGCTTTAGTCTTTTCGTTATTCTCCAAAAATTACGAAATTTGTTTTTAATAACATTATTTTCATTATATGTAACAAAATAACCAAATATTGAAGTAAGAAAAAGGATCAGAAAGTAAACAAAAGGTCAAACAAAGGTAAACAGGCGATGTGAATTATGATTTTTTTAAATAATCGTAAAGTAAACAATACATCGAAAAATGTAACATTTAATCATTTTACGCTTAATTATAATTTTTGTTACGCCAAATTATTTCGCTTTTTTTGCATTTTTCACATTTTTTAGTGTTTTTCACGTTTTTTAGCGTTTTTCACGTTTCCTAGCACATTTATTTGCGTTTGTTTCTTTTTTTATTCATTTCATTTTTCCATTAAATTCTATTGAGCAAATGTGAATTCGGATTGGAATGGCTCTCAACTAAACTGGAATGAATATTTTCTTCAAATTAATTTTAGGATAAGAGGAAAAAAAATCTTCTCGAAATATTTTCATTAACCCTACACTAAAAGTATACTTTATTTTATATTTAAGTAAACAATTAAATTAATAATTGAATTCTATAAACGAAAAAATTTTTTTGTTTGCTTCTATTTGTGTATAATATTTTGCGATCTATCATCAGTTCTCTCTCCTCCCTGAAATATTTCACATTTTCAAGTGAAGCTTTCTCTCATTTACATTAAGCATCGAAATTTTGTTGCATTTTTCATTTCTATGGTATCGTAAATTTTGATGAAAATTTAATTCAAATTTGTTAATTAAAAACAAATTCTCTTCTTTACGTATTTTGTCTTATGCAAAAAATGCAATTTAAATTTATTACCAAAAGTCTTTGTTTCCAAAATTAGGTAAGAAAGATATTGTGGAAGAAGCACAGTAAAATATTGATAAATCAATAAATAATCTTTTATTTTATTATCAATCATTATTTGTTTATTAAATGATATTTTTGTAAAGCATCTTCTATAGCTTCTATGAAGGCTTATATTAATTTTAGTATTTTAGGAGTTTAAAATTTAAATTTAGAAATTGTTAAATTCCAATGTCTAAATAGATTCTATTTAAAGATGTATAGGATTAGTATGAATGACATAGACTATTATTAGCATACAAAATGTAAATTGTTAGTGATTATTTGCATTGGCTGACTGGACTCTATTCGTCCCTTTCTATCATATTCAGCTCAGTAACATTTTTGCATATATTAATTACACTCACCATATTGCCTAACTCATACGCTACACCTGCAATCAATTTATTTCACCTGTCCCTATTTCATTGTGACCCAATTTAATTTTCACTTCTCTGTTCTGTATGAATAATTTCAAGCGAGATGATCTTTTGTAATTGTTAATTTAATCCTTTTCTTACATTTGCTTATCGTAGTTTATCTTAGGAATTTAAATTTAAATAAAATTCATATTTAATAGTGGCAGCATTAAGTTTATTTTTAATTATACATATAATAAGAGTTTTTTTTGCTCATCTACCTTCTAACTTACCTTTTGTAATTAATTAATTTTTGTAACTTTATTTATTCAATTGTTTCTACAAATTTATTCCATACCTTATTTTTTATATGAACCTCTATTCTCATCTATTATTAATTTTCAATTTATGAAATGTAATTTAGAAATTTAAAAGAGAATGGTTGAGTTGAATCTCTTATCCATTCATTATCTTCACTGTTATCTTCAACTATGATTATGCATGCATTTAAGAATGACATTCTTAAATTATGCATGCATTTAAGAATGACATTCCTTTTTACCAGAAAACTCTTTCAAAAATGTCTCTCAATCTATAATATCTCTCATTCATTTTTTAAATGTAAAATTTGATCAAAATTATTTGAGAAACAATTTTTGATTTTGTTTATGAAGAGTGGGTGGCTATACAGTAAGTTCTGAAAATGAAATGTATCATTGCTGAAATAAATAAAATATTACTTTAAAGATTATATTTTTTTTTGCTACCAGATGAAGGAAAAGTAATTATGTTAATTTAAAAATTGCAATTAACCTTTAACTTGTGATCTTTAACATTATACTAAATTGAAACTATAAGATAGTATTAATATCAAATATAAAATATGCATTCACATGCAAATTACTGTCTTATAAATATCAATTTGTTATAAAAAAATTCTTACTTATCTCATTTTATTCCAACTTAATAATAATGAAAAATTTCCAACTTAATGATAATGAATAATTATTTTTTTTTTGTTTTTTAAATTTTACAAAATTTTAAATTTCTTTTTCTTTTCTCATCCAAACAGTTAATTCTCATAGTGATAAATGATATATCAACGGATACTTTTTATCATTCATTTACTATAAAATATGTTATTGTGTTAGGAACGAGTTTTTTCCTCTTTTAGTTCTATCTTCATCTGTCAGGAGAGAAAGAAATTGTTGAGTGATTTGAGGTAGTAAGATGGAGTAGAAGAGAAGATGGAAGAGGTGAAGTTGATAAAGAGTAATTTCTGTAGCTGGTAGGTGAGGAAGTTGGAGTAGAAGAGAAGATGGAAGAGTTGAAGTTTGATGAGAATAATTTCTATAGCTGGTAGGTAGTAAATCTATTATTAATGAATTCAATTCATTCATTTCTTCTCCCTTTTATTTCTTCTTTTGCGATTTTTGAAGAATTAAATTTATTTCTGAGATAATGAATACTTGATTGATTTTATCTTTTGATAATGAAATTGATAATATATGCAATTTTATTGATTATAAATTTTAGATGATTTAATTTGAATTATAAATTTTGTATTATCGTTGTATTAGTTGAAATGTAAACATTTCAAATCATATCATCTATCATATCATCTAAACATTCATTCATATTTAGAATTAATTTATCTATGCAATTAAGAAGAGTTTATGGATTTGCTCTTATTTTTTTCAAATCATTTTTGTATGGAATAAAATGGCATTATTGTTTGGTCCATATTTATAATTAAATTTTATCATACTTACAATTAAACTTTAAAAGAATATCCTTTTTATTAATTAGTTCATAATTACAATTAATTCTACCTTAGCTAAATTTATTATTGATTTTTAGTGAAATTATTTTGTTTAAAAATTTGTTGATAAATTTGTTTGATAATTTTTCAAAGATTAACAGAGAATTTAGTGACGAAGAAATGTTTGAAAAGACCTTGAAAAGAATGATACGATCATATCAATTGCAATGTTACAATCTACTTCATTCAATAACAAGAAATAATAAATCTTCAATAAAAATAATCAAATAAAAAAAATGGATTATTGATTGATATTAAATGATAATGAAAAATAGTATCAGTGAAATTTCATTCTACGAAAGAAAGAAAATCATTTTCAAATTAAATGATAAGAATTTAATACAATTTTAAAACTCTTTTAATTTATTATTAATTTTTTAATTACTGCAATTTTTTAAAAAAAAATGGATTATTAATTGATATAAAATGATAAAAAACTCTTTTAATTTATCATTAATTTTTTAATTACTGCAATTTTTCTTTTTTGTTCATGAGAAAACTACAATGTTACAATGTATTTCAGTAGTCAATCTATGTTAATCTATGTCATCTGATTTCTACAATTATTGTTAAATGACAATGAAAATTTTCCACTAAATATATAGGTCGAGGTTAAAAAGCTTTTTCTTTTGTTTTCATTTTAAAATTTGTTTCGAGAAAATGTTCAAATTTAAATTTGTTAATAAATTTACAACGAGAAAAAATGTTCTATGTTCTTCTTTATTGCATAATTAATTTAGAAAATTTAATTACTCCATTATTTAATTCATGAAAACAATCTGTCGGATATATTTCAGTGTTTTGATTTTCAAAGTACAATTTTTTTTCCGTTTGAATTATTGTGAACGATATCTTCTTCTTCTTTGGGTAATATTTAGCCAGCTGTTTTTGAAGATTGAATTAAATTTAAGAATTGAATTTAATATAGTTAATCAGTCAGTTAATTAATTAGTCGTATCAGTGAAATGAATTTTATAGTTATATGAAGAAAGAATTTTATAGTTATATGAAGGAAGAATAGTTTATTTTTAATGGAAAAGTTAATTTTAATTTTTTAGTACTTTAATTTTAATTTTAAGTTTTAATTTTTAATTTATTTTTAATAGAATAGTTAATAGAATAGAATAGATTTATTTTTATAGTTATATTTTATAGTTATATGAAGAAAGAATTTTATAGTTATATGAAGGAAGAATATCAATATTTTAATCGGTTTGTTTTCTTTTGTTGTCTAACATTTCAACAAATGCAAAAAGTATATTTTTACTAATTTTTAGCATTAAAATAATATCATAAGCAATCAAAATGTAATAATTGAATCTTAATTGATATTACATATTCTACGGTTTCCTGAACAATATCAATCCGGTTTAACTGAAATGACGAATTAAAAAGCTGGTTCTTTCTTTTTTTTTGTTGAATGTTTTCATAGAGTGTTATATTTTTCATTTCTGTTATGCTATTATTTGCTTACAGCTGTGTTTAAAATTTTGGGATTTTTCTTTGGATGCGAATATTTGTAAAAGTTTTATAAGGCGAATTTGTTGTTTGTAACTTTTTCGAATTTCAAAATCTAAACTTACTCAAATCTTCTCATATGAATTTTCATTCGTTAAAGTTCGATTAAGAAGTGCTCGATGTCATTATCATCATCATCATCATCATCATCAATCTATTCCGGTTATCGTTACGAAAATCAGAAACCATTTTTGATGTATCAAAAACCGCTTCAATTCAGCTGGTTTAGCACAGCACTCAAAAATATACGTATGTTCGATTAAACTCCTTCTACTCTTCATCTTATCCGATTATTGTTGTTTATTTAAAGTAACTGATTGAAATTTTTCAAATAACCGGAAAAGTTTTTTTTGTAAGTTATTTTGGAAATAAAATTATGAATTCATGAAACTATACAATTCATTCATAAATCATTTCGACTCTTTCTGAAATTTACGAGCTTCAATGCAAATTAAATATTTCATCGAGGCATCTTTTTCCTTCTAAAAAATTTCAGCAGAGTTCATTTTTTATAAGCATCGTAAAAGTTATTTACTTAATCTGTAAATATTTTTTGAAGGATAAAAAGAAATAATATAGCTGCTAACTTTAGACAGATAATTTCATGCATTGGCTAATAAATAAATAATAGCAGATTATCATTATTTATTATTAATTATTATTAATTAATGATTATTAAATTTTATTATTTGAAAATAAATTATAAAAAGGAATAAAATAAATTATAATGAGAACAACATGCCAAATAAAAATTCCTCGCTTCCTCATTAATATATTAAGTCAGAGTAGTAGTAGTAGTAGTAGTAGTAGTAGTAAGTATCATTATACAATTATTACCAGTTTAATTTTTAAATTATTAATTTATTGCTGAATTCAATATCTCTTTTTTTCTTCATAAATAAAATCATAATAAAATTTCGACAAGTAACGACTCATTTACACTTTTTTTTCCTGATCCTCTTCTATATGATTATTATTTTCCTGATCATGTAAGTTTCATTTGGAATCTTTTCTATGATTCTTAGAAGGTATTATTTTCATTTGCAAGAAATTCTTTTCATTTGCACAATTTAAAGTGGGAAACTTTTTGCATGAAAGAAAGTTTACAAGATGGTTTTCATTTTTCTAAAACAAAAGATCAGCAAAGAGAAATGATAAAAGTCATTGAAAAGTTCGAAAAGGACTCTTCTGATAATAAAAATTGCTATGATATTGTAAAATTGCATTACTAAATCATCATATTTTCCTTTTATTTCAGAAGAAACGGACGGCGATTCGAAACATGAAAAAGATACAGAGGAAAACCGTACGATAGTTGCCGTATCGTCTACTTCCACTACTGTAGATGACAAGTGCGCTGCAGTGGAGTTGAAAACGGATGATGAACGATCGAAATTTGTTGTAGACAATGATGATCAATTAAAATCGACCAAAACAGTTCTACCTGTTAGCGATAACGTTGATTTAGTGAACACAACCCATGGTAATAAATCGATAGAAACTCATTCGAAAAGTTTAACTGCGATGTACTTGGAAAAGAAGAATCTGGTGGAAGAATCAGATCTGCTAGAAGAATTGCAAGAAGGGTCATGCAAAAATGAAACTCCGAATATTAGGATCAGTAAGGTCAGCCAAATGGATTGCCTGAATCCTTTTCCAATTTCTAACATGAAAAGAAAAATTTCAAAATCTTATGATAGGTCTACAATCATTCTTGAACTTTCACCGATACTTGGAGGATAATGACAGTTAACATTTTGTAAAGATTTAATTTTTCATCTGAATACTACAGTAATTTATTTGGACTTAAAGTTCCTTCGATTCTTATGGTTTATTAATGAGAAATAAATGTTACCTCACAATGTTTTTCAACTTTCCCTTAGAACTTTTTGAAATTTTAACTCTGCTTAATTCTAAAAATTTTGAAATCTGTAGGAGGAAGGACCTGTACGACAATCATTGCTCAGTTTGGTTATGGATGAAGACGTTCCAGAATTAATGGAAGCCATGGCCGAGAAGGTTTCACTTTATGAAGTTTGCAGTAAATTAACTTAGAATGCTCATTGCTCCAGCATCATCGTTCCCTTATTATCAAATTGGTTAATGCTTATATCTCCAATTATCAAAAACCCAATTCCCATTCACTGAATATCAAACTTAGTCTTTCAGTTAGAATTCGTCTTTGAAGATCTCACACCATCTGTATCCAACGTTGGAGAAGGAATATTGCGTAACTCAGCGAAGCGTTCACGTTCACGTCCTAGGGTTAGTAACCAAAATTTCGATGAATGTGCTAGCATTGTAAGTGTAAAATTAGTAAATACAACAATTTTAAATCTGATCGTTGTACTTTAACTTAAACTTATGATGAGGCAAAACTGGATAAATTGGAACCCTTATATTCAGAAGGTTTCAAATAAAATTCCGAAATGATTTAAAACAATTGAAATAACATAAGATATAAGTTATTGCATTTCATTTTGCAGGAAGTAAGGCTAGAATTTCATTCATCATCACCAACAGTGTTCACATATCCCGATGAAGAATCAGCTGTTGAGAAGGCACAATGGGATGAAGGGAAATTGATCACTTTTACAGTTTATCGAGAACTCTGCGAAGGGTATTTGTTTTTATCTATCGGCAAAAAACAGGATGGATTAATAAATCTGAAAAATCTATTTATTCAGTTTTATTATTTCAGTATCTCACATATTTATAGTACCTCACATATCTTCTTCATTTTAGGAAAAAAGAACAGTTAATAGATGACAATTACAAATTTCAAAGTCTTTTACAACCTTCGCAAATGGCGAGCAATACAGAATTCCCATTTGTAAGAAGTGAGTTTCAATATTTCAGCAAAATTTTTATTTAAGGGGAGTTATTGAGAACTGAACTCTATCCAATCAACTTGTAGCGCAAAGTAAACATAAGTAAACGTCTTGAGTTCTCACTAAAGCAAATGGAAATTTAAAAGAAAGCCAAAGAACGAATAGTATTTGATTCATTCCATTAAATTAGTTAGTAGCAAAAAGTTTTCAATTGTAAAAAAATATTATTCACATTTCATTTCCTTCATAACTCATACATTCTCATTTTGTGAATGAATAGAGCCTCACGTTTAAATGAATAATTCAAGAATTCAATTTTTTCTTCTCCAGCAGCAACACTAATGGAGGAACCATCAATGGCTGAAAGTTTGCTAGGTGTCACGGGTCGTATCTCATACAACAATGCTCCCATGGGTTTAGATCGATTCAATAAAAATACAGTGTAAGTGTCATTAATTCCATACAGACAAGAATAATTTCTGCATTAGATATCAAGAAGCTACAATGAAATAAATTATCTTCCAGATCACTGATAGCCGGTAAATGATTCTTCCATTACAAGTGCAAACTGCAGAGAACTAGAAATTACTATCATCGAATCCTTTATTTCTATGAGTGACACTTCCCGTGATATCTCTGGGCTGTATGCTATGAAAAAAATAACAGATAAGGTTTTTATAAGAATGCACGATCCACTTTCACAAGGTTAGTTATAATCATATATTGGTTGCTATCAGTACCTCTTCATGGCTTATCGCTTGTTTGGTTGTGTATAATTTATAACAACATGATTGTTAAATGTAGTTTGTGAAATGAATAAATATGGCTACTTTCCTAATGCTGACAGAGCTGGCGAAGCCGAATAGCGCTCAAAATGCTCAATTCCTAACAGCCCACTCAAATATTAATGTATCATTATTGCTTGAACAAAACACAATCTGACTTTCACCAAATTCTAGATAAACAAGTTCAATTTTGAAAGTAATTTAGAATTAAACAATAGATCCAATTATTTACTATGGAAAAGAAGAAAATTAAATAGTGAAGATAATTACAACATGTCTTTTTTTTTATTATAAATAATCACTGTAATGAGATTAAATGTTCAAAAAATCATGCATATAACGATAAAAATATAAATCATGGTGTGCAAAGTTCCAAGTTGAATGAGAAGAAAAAATAATTTTATCGCTATTATCATTTCAACTAGTAGAACGAAAAATATAGCATGGAATGAAGAGACAAATATTTTCGCAAGATGTGTCTGATTGATTCACCGGTGATATTTATAGATTAAGTGATCATTTAACACAATTTTCTGTTTCTTTCTATGCTGAAACATTAAATATAAAAATAATTAAATAATTCTTTGATAAAGAGATTTTTTCTTAAAAAGAATGATGCTAAACACGATAAAGGTAATGAACAACCTATGAGTTCCACTTTCCCGAGGCTAAGACAAAAATTCAATATCGTCAAGTTTGTTAGAATAAATAATTTAAGTTTAGCACTAGGCTAGTTGAACTAGCTTTTAAACAAAAATATTTTGAACATGTTTTATCACTGCGCTATTGGTGAAGGCACCGACAGCGCAATAATATAAACATTATATCATTATTTGAGCTTCATTACTAGCAGCAATTCAATTTCAAACTTTAGAATGAACAGCGTTTTTAAAATTGCATTAGTTCCCACAACTGATATTCTCAAATTCTTGGTTAAAGAATAAAAGAACTAGACAGACGTAAGTAAGAATATTCCATTCTGCTTTTATTTGGATGTTATTCGCTAAATTTTAAAATAATAAAACCACAATTATTTGTTTGCAAAACAATTCTTATTTCCTTACTTCGCGTTCTACACCTACTAAATTTGTTTTAAATAAACTTTTCCAATTTCTCTAAACTGAATTTAATAAATGATTAAACTCCAAATGAAATTTTTTTTTTTGAAAGCCAATCCAACCAACCTTTCCATCAGTAACTGCCGAATCCAACTACTTATAAACCTGCGATCTGCCTGAAATGTTTTTTTTTAACAGGCACGATAATTTTGAGGGCATATAAAAAGCTACAATCACTTTGGTTGCTACATTTGTCTTTATTTTGCAAAAAAAAAATACCCGCAAAGCATCTATGATATCTGCAGTACACAACGGCGTTCTCATAGATTGCAAAACATAACAGTCGTTAAGGCGATCTCCTTCGGCTCTGAAACAAACTACTATTCCTTTACTGCCAGGGATAGGTCCCATAAAAATGAACTTACCGTCTTTTACGAGCGCCAAACATGTGGCATATCCCGATGCTATTCACCAGATGGCTTCTTTTCATTTTCAGCGCCTCTTCCAGTATATTTTTCAAAACTGTCTAAAATAATAACAGCAGTAACTGAATGACATGAAACCAGTGACATGGAGGCTTCACTGATATGAAACCAATAATCAATAAAATCAGTAAGTCATTACTGATAAAAGGCACACCTTCGATGCGTCCAGTAGTGTGTTGCAAAGATCGTCATTGCACTGTTGCCATTTAAGTTCATTTCTTGGAACTATAAGCAGTAGTCGTTTCCTTATCTGAAACTACAGTAACAAAACGTTTGCCTTAATTGCCAAACCAGAAAAACAAGGAATTTTTAATGTAATATAAGAAATGGTACTTACAATATTCGAACTAACAGTGTATTGACTGGAATTACTGAAAACAGTTACGATTTTCGGAAGAAAATCATGAATATATAAGTCTAGCATCCCGCTATCAGAATGACTGGAAAGGAAATTCCATACGAGATTATATACTAAAGATAACTATTTAAGTATTAGTAAGTAAACATCTACCAAGATCACATATGACCTAGTCGACTCATCGTCGAAGAGATAAAAACAAGTAAACATACGCCACAATACATTAAAATAATAAGGTAACATTTTATCATGCAATATTAAAATAAAATGCAGATAAACCTGTTCCTTCGACCAATCCCATGTTTGCTCATCGCCAATAATATCACGATCTGCTTCTGAAAACACAGCGAATCGCTGCTGAAAAGAAAACCAGTCGATTCAATTCGCAAGTACCAGAAAAAAAAGAGGACTGACTTTATATGCAAAACATATGTTGAACGATTTAAGAATTTTGATCGAATTGCTTACCCTAAATTGATTAGTGAAACTCGTAGAAACCTCATCTGTTACATGACCTTTTTTACTTAATAATCCGCCATAAGCCATACTGAATTCATTTGTGGTGATCGTTGTTGACCACCTTAAATACATTAAATGAAGCAAACATCAAGAGATTTATCAAGCCTTAGAGCAAAAGCAAACAAATCAATCGTAATGTGCTACTTTTCAAAAAATTAAAAAGTGTAGAAACCCTATGGATTAAGGACTAGGAACTAATACATCCGAAATAACCAAAATAGCTACAAAGAATAATTTATTGATCAAGTACGAATGCATGTGGCTCAGCAACGCGACACATCAGTGTTTCATTGACGATTCTCATTAACAGTAGCAAATGACGCTCTTAGACGAACCTAGGAAGTACAACATAATTTCATCCAAATATGCTACACCTCGTTTTGCAGCAACTATTTTCGGTCAAAAAGAGGCAAAGTTTTCATTTCAAACATAAAATTTCTATAAGTATGCGAAACATATGCCATTTTTATTTAATAGAAAAGGTAAATTATGCAAAATTACTGCAAATTGTAAACTACATATATATAATCACTCACAGCCAACATATTAATTCACAGAATGTGCTGTAAATGATCTTGAATTTTGTGATGGAAAAACACAAATACTCATTACTCGCTTCAATTAAATTGTAAATTTCGAAGTTAAATGAACAATCAATACAAGATCATTAAAAAATTCAACTTCAACCGAAAATTATCGCCTGATCCTGTAACAAAATGTTATCAGGTCAAAAGACCAAAATAGACACCCAATAAAAGCTACTAAACGAATTCAAAGAAGTATGCTTATTAACGAATAAATTAAAGTGACAATGTAGAACAATCATCACTCAATAACAAGGCCACTGACTACAACATGACAAGAAAATGAAATAATAAACTGTGCAAATATATGGCGTATATAAGAATCATAACACAATAAAATAGATCTAAATGAGCCAAGATAAATGAAGCATCAGTATGTTAAAATGCGAAAATTATCACTCATTACTGCTTCACAAATTTTGATTTAACAGTGTTTTAATGAACTCCACTGCACTAGTAAACTGAGTCCACCAGTATGCTTCGATGCCTGTTATTTGATTTGCATAAAATGCACCAATATACTGTATATTCGATAATAGAGATGACGGATTTGCCTAAAAAAAATTATGTAAGGAATACCGCTATTCTCATTGAAATCCACGACAGCAGTTTTCGTCTTAACAGAATTTTTATTCAACTTATTGTGCAGGTACTCGAAGATGAAAAATACCACAGGTATGCTAGCATGTCCCCAGCTTTTCCAATCCATTCCTCTTCATAAAAGGAATCAAATGACATGATACTATTACTCCTATTCAACTTTTACGGATGTTCTCTTTAATATTGCTATTTGACTTTGTCTGCTAGCTGCAACATTACGGTTGGGAAAAAGTCTTACCTGAATAAGAACGTAAACAAGTACAGGGGTAATATCGTCTGCTGAAGCGGCTCCTCTCTCGGATGCAAGAATAATGAGATTTTCGATCGTTTCACAGCATCTAACAATACAAGCCATCTTATCTCGTGGTGATTTGTATGCATTTATAATTCCAATTTCGGCTTGCGCTGAGGGCCATGGACATTCGCCACGTAATCTCTGAAAAATAAACAAGTAGAGAAGTGGATGCAAAAGGTTCTTAATCAAACTTGAAAACTCATGTTAGGGAAAACGAAATTATAAATTCAAACTACAAATAAAGATCGGGTTTTTAAATAACGACTAGCATTATAGTTTTTTCTCTAGGAAAAAACTTGCGATGAGAAATAAAATAAAATTTTACCACAGATATATGCAACTGAGGATGGTCCGGGTTAATCTCCGTTGCTAATTTTTGGACCGACTTGTGGAAAACACTGAAACAATGCCTCATGACTCAAATCAAACCAATGGCGAAGTGAAGTGAAATATTGTTAGATAAGAAAAGAAAAAACGTTGAGATTATCAATAAAAAAATCTAGTGTTAAACTCTTAATAATATTTGGAATATGAAGCAACTATTTTAGCAGAAAGAAACCTGTCTCTACTTTGGTCAGCTTCACCATTTGGATAAAGCGCATACACATAAAGCTGAGCCATTAATGAACGTTCAACACTCTTCTTTACAAATGAAATTCTTTCTGCATTTGCAAAACGCCATATTTTCTCATACGGTAAGCTCTCATATAATGAATTCAAAGCACGCTCCATTACATCCGTTCTTTCATCCTGTAGAAATTTCGAAATCTTTTCGATGAATACTAAGAACACTAATAAAAATAGTCAATGCAAATAAGAATGAATTAATCGTATATACCTGAGCTTTTAGAGTCTGAAATTCAGCAATAAACCTTCGTAGTTGCAATTCATGCTCTTCCAGGTAAAATCGAACAAGCACATCTACTAAGCATTCACCAATCAGCAATTTCTCTCTGTAATCCATTAGGATGGCATCATTATCCTTTTCCAATGTCTTAAATATCACCAGGATCGGTGAGGTGCTACAGAAATTTCTTTCGGTTATTTATTTCATCCCACTATCGACAGAGTTTGAACTAGTCAAATCAAGTCTTACATAAAAAAGTGACCGATATAATGTGTTTGCTTTATACCACAACAATGCCTCAAGACGCTATGATTGGAAGTCCAATAATAATATTGCAAACCTTTGAAGGCGGATAGCTAGTTTTTCTAAATTAGAGCGCAACTGAAGTAGATTAAGACGAGACTGCTGTAAATAAAGCATATATGCTGTTCGCTTTCGGTGTTCACCTTTCAGAGCTCTTAACAATTTTCTAACCCTAAAAAAATCTCATCACAGAAAAATGAACACGTCTTCCATTTCAAAATGCTACATATTGGAAATTATGCGAAAAGAATAGTCAATAATGCTGGAGATATAGAGAGAAGCAATATAATTTGAGATTATGAGACTTATTTCACATTTGCAAAACTTGCGATACACATCTAGACATACTGAAAATTTTTATTATATACTAACAACTTTTTTGAAGTCAAGACAAAAAGTCAGCATGAAAGCCATTCAGTCAAATGAGTCTCGAAATTAAATAATGATTTTAAATAAAACGCGTAACTTACGCTCTATCATCGAATCTAACTAAACAGCGCATAACTTCACGAATTTGTGCGCAAAGAGTCTTATCCTGCCCATTGATGCTTTCCGCTAATAGAATTTGCAGGAATTCTGCCAACTGCCGTGCATCATTCTTTCCACTGCAATAAGTAACTATCATTAAGTAATCACTATAGAAATTGTAACTGTGTAAATAAAATTTCAAATCGTTACCTCATCCTCATTTTCGATCTGCGTAAAATACTTTCACCTCCGACAGAAGATACTCCAGGCAATGAAGCCACTGAACTCAGCACCAAACGTAATTTTCGCTTGACATCAACAAAAGCACGACACTGGGTAAGATTATCAGGATCGTAGTACAATTCTGAATCTTCAGATATTTTTCCAGTTTTCTCCTAGAATAAAGTTTAATTCCATAAAAAAATTTATTGCAATCTTGAAAGAATCACTGTTTAATTTTTCTATACAAGACAACTATTACTGGACTTAATTTGAATATTACCTTTTCCTGATTATTTTCATCCAGAAATTGATTATTTCCTTCAACTGAATATAAAGGGACTGCTTTCCTTTTATATTTATCTAGAATTTCATTTGCTGTTCGCTTACTCACATCCGCAGTGATATTCAAGTCATCAAGGGAATGACTTTCAATAAATCGGCCAACTTCTGTGCCTGAAATTTATTTATATATTGAATTCTACTTGAAAACACATCATATTAAACATTTCTTGCAGCTTTATTTTTCTACTGTAAAATGTTTGCAATGCTAACATTATAAATGATTTACCAAAAGATGACGAGGGAGAATCTTTTTCATTTGTGCTTTTCAAAGACGTGATTTCATTCATTGTTGTAGCTTGAGATAATGATTGGCGAAGTGAACTAACCACAGCACCTAAAATTCAAAAAAGCAGTTCCCATCATCCTCTTTCATTATTATATACAAAAGTCCATTCCCACCTGGTCTGCTTACATAACTTTTAGAATATCTTTATATTAAGGAGTTAAACAAAAACTACATAGAGATACCGAGCCATAAAATTTTAATAAAGTTATTTGCAGTACACAAGATCATACGATCCTTAGAAAACGATATAAATATTTCCCATAAAGTAATCTATCGCACACTTATGATGCTTTCTTCCATTAATAACCAAAATTGAGAAAAAAATATAGGAAACCTTTTCTCATCTTCAGTGATTCGCCTACTTTATGCAAACCGTGTAGTATATTCATTCTCTTTCGTATCAGTGGACTCTCATTTCTTTCAATATCATCATTCTGAGCTCCTTCAACAAAAGAACTAACCAATAAATTATATTGAAACAAGAAAACATTATAGTTGTAACATAGCATTCAAAACGATAAAAAATATCATAAAGCATAAGTCCATGTGGTGAAAAAATCCAACAAAACTTCTAATTAGTTAGAAATCGCTTGAAACACTCACGCAAACGAGAAGTTGCAATAGGGATACGATATGTTTTCGGCATAGATCCACTATTAACCCAATTCGCTCTTATAGCCTCTGCATCTGTTTTATCTTCGTTACAACGTTCGGTTTTTCCCATCTAAAAAATGAAAAAATGCAGCGTCTCCTTGACAAACCCTGAAACTTGGCTCAGATTTCAAATGAATCCGAACTTATAATTTTGAAGCCGAAAACAATCAATACTGCGAAATATTGAAAGAATTCGAATTTGGACAATGGAAAGTAATTTTAGTTAAAACATGATGGAATGAGCCAAACTTGTTAAATGTATGAATGCTTACCGCTGCATGTTCATATTCATTACATTTATCGGCTTTTCGTGTATTTGTCATAATGACATCATTTTTGGTAGAAATCATTAAATCATCATTAGTTGGAATAATATTTGATCCTCCTTCCATATCATCATTACAGAAGGAACCTGCCGTTGCCATTACTGAAACAGCTGGACTGGTTGGCGCTAGTTCACCTACACTGTTGCGAAAAGATGGAATGTAATCGCCAGGTAATGATGAAAGTGCGTCATCATTAAGATCCCTGGAAAAATTCAATTTCCTTTCAGAATCGTCAAAGAAGCTTTTCTTATTCATGAACCAGTCATGCATTGATCTGAGCAATAATAGTGCATTGATGATCACAGTAAAAATATTACCGAAAAAATAGTAACTAACTTAGAAAATTCAGAGTCGACATCAGATTTTGAGTAGAAGGAACTTCCACTGGACTGACGTCTAAGACGTTCACGACCGTGACCGCTTGATGTGGTAGCTACCAGATTCACTTGATTCAACTCGCGAAAAATTGACGCATCAGTCGATGCAGTAGACGTCGCTTTTCTAAAATAGATGAAAGCTTAAACAGATGCAATTATTGCTTACAACTGCATCTTTGAAGGTATTCGAATCTACTTGTATTTCAAAAAATTTCTTCAATCGTAAAAGTGCATATGAAAAGCATAGTACTTCACAACATGTTGAAATGAGAAATTGTTCCCCCGAGAAGCTTCATTTTGGGTATGCCCTCCAAGCGTTGCTTGAACAGCCGCGCTACTACCTCCTATCATATTGCTTTCGTTACAAGCAGAAGCTAGCAATATTGCGTTTGTATTACCACTAGGAGCTGAAATATTTAAATGAAGTGTGAAAAACATGGATGGATAAATGCAATTATTTCTGTCATTTTTCCAAAAAATTCTTTAATAATGCTGCTGATATTAGAGAACTGATGTGAAAGGTAAATGTTTGAAAATTTTGCAAAAAAACAATAAATGCAAACCAGATGGAATATCAGCACTATCGGGATCATCAATCATTAATAAGTCGTCGTTCCTTTGAACAGGGTCTGCCTCAGAATCACTAGCCACTGCATCTACAGACCATGTATCACTTCGGTCTTCTCCATTACCTGCTACAGCTAAAGACCCAATAGCACTGCCAATGGTAGACCGTTGTGAACCCATTCCTGTAAAGGTCTTCTGTTTTATAAGATCTCCTGAATTCTAAAGCTTCAGTACAGAATCTGCCCATCATAAGTTCGAGATTGAAATGTGACAAGAATTACTGATATAAAATAAAACAATGCCGAAACATACTGCTCGGTCTACTTTCATTCCGAGATTCGCCAACTTCTACAACTGCAGGTAGCACAGGAGGAGCAACTATAGACGAACTATTATCTCCTTCTTGTCGAGCATCGAAACCGAAACCTTCAGTATCTGATGGCAGAACATCGGTGGACCAGCTTTCACTGACAAGTGAATGTGTTTCATCGCCTGAAACCGAACGGAGAATACGTGAAAAGCTCAGTTATAAATACAAGCAGCGAGAAATTATTCAGACAAATTTAGGAAAAATTAAACGCTACAATAAGCTGTATATGAATCCTAGTGTCTTAGTTTCATACTCCATCAGAAATGGCTGCGTTTTATATTTCAAAAATCAATTTGAATTTGGTAAAACTGCCGGTGCCTTACTAAAATATCACCAAAAAAGATGCGTAAAATAAAATTCCGCGATTTTAAATAAAATTCTCAACATACGGTATTTATGACGGCCTTCTCCTTGCGAAGGCAAGCAAAATTTCCCGAATTTGTCTTCGAGGCCTTCAGTATTTTCACGACGAACGGTTACTGGCAAATTAGGAAGATTATGTTGGCGAGCATTATTATTTTCTTGTATTGCATTATTAGCATTTTCTGCAATAATGCAGATTTTAGTCAGTTTGAAGAGATTGTACGTATTGTCGTCTCAGTTGGATAATCAATTAATTACTCATACTATAACAAAACTTTTCTCAAGACAGCGTGCAAATCGCATCTTAATTTTAAGAATCCTTATTTTCCAGATTACAGCATTTTTTAACTTACCGCCACTTGACGGTGCAGCTGATCGGGCTGAGCGCGAACCACCCCGATTAGAAGCCGGATCACTGACGCTCGGTGAACCACGACCGGAAACATTTGCACTGCTGGGAACAACATCACTGAAATTGTCTGGTAAGGTTGATACATCTTCGGCATCATCATCCATACCATCAGCATTACCTTAAAAAAGCAATTATATCGAGAAGCATGACTAAATTAATTGTCAAAAAATGATTAAGACAAAAAATAAATTCTTGGAAAGGAAGATCACTTCGTAACAGACTTGAAAGAAGAATAAAATTTTTATAGATGAAGAAAAACACAATTCTGATTTACCTTCGATGGAAGAGGATAAACTTGCTGCTTCCTCATCATCGCTTCCACCGTCAGTGGTACGATCTAAAAGTTTTTACCTGGTTCAACTTAAATAACTTTTTCAAAAAATCAAATCCATATTAAAATGTAACAGAGCTACTACCAATGCTTTCAGTATCAACGAAACGAGTCCGCTTTTCGGCTGACTCATCCGATGTTTTATGTTTCCGCACCCGTTGCGGGTTTCGAACTGATTCCATAAATTTTTCTTCAGAACACATTCCCAATGGTTCCCTATCTTCGCCAAGAGGAAACACAAGTACCTGAAACAATCATTACAAAAGATGCAAAACTCGAAAAAAATGAAAATCATAACTGGGTTCAACAATGTTTCGTTTGATTAACATTTTGGGATTTTTGTTCTATTGGGAACTAATGATATAATTTCTTTGAATTACTCAATATAAATGTAACAAGCACCTCAGTATTTTCCACTTGAATACGCTTTGATTCAGGAGACTCCATGGACTTGCAGTGTTTAGATCGCAAACTTTTCTGATCACCACTTTGAACTGAAAGCATTTCCTTTCGGGGGTCTTACATTAAGAATTGGTCTTATATTAAGAAACATTAGTGCTTTTTAGAAACGAATTTCCTTACTTAAATCTAACGTCTTAGCGTCATTGGAGAAAGAATCTGCATTTTTATCGTTTGCTGGACTTCCCTGAAACTGCAAATAATAATAATCATTTAATCCGAAATAAACAAATCTATATGAACACGAAATCCAAGAGAGAAATTGATCAGCATTAAAACTTCATAGGAAACTTGAAACATTAGAAAAAACAATCATGTGTGTAAACTCTTTTCAGATTTGCACATTTCTAACAAAAAAAAAAAAGCTTTCCAATTACTTCTTGAAAACAAACAATTCCAGCATTTGATACATCACCCCGCGCAAGTTTTATTGGTAACCGCCGCAATATTCCAGTTAGTGCCCGTCGCACCGATTCATCACTTATGGGACTAGTTGCCAAACAACGAACAGCACTAATCTGTAACAACAACTCTTTAAAAATTTTAGCGCACTTTTTATTACAACATACACCAAAAAGCAAAGGTTAAAAACTGAATGAATGACAGAAAAAGAAAAAAAGGAAAACTAAGGAAAATCACAAAGAAGAACATCTTTATTTTCAGTTTCGTACAACAATAACTTGAAATATAATATCATGATTAATTAATTTCAAGCCGGAAAATCCAAGGTAGCAAAAAATCTCTACCACTTACCAAAGAGTCCAGTTCTGCAAGAGTACCTACGAACATTCGCCTTACAAACTGCTCAACAACTTGAGGTGGTGATTCGGTATTCACCGCGCATATATTTTCTATTGATTCACCATGCGTTGTAAGGACATGCTGAACCACACACGACATCGACTGCTAAAAGAGAACTGCGAGTGAATGGAATTTTATAGAAGCAACACTTTTATTACCTGAATTTGAATTAGCGCTTGCCTTTTACTCGAACCTATTATGTAATGTCATTTCTTTAAAATTTCAGATGTGAAATACAAAAAGATAACTACCTGATCGAACTGAGAATAAAAATGAGCGATATGAGTAGAAGGTGGTTCAAAAGGTGCAACAGCTAGTGTTTGCAAAATCTGTCCAATTTGCATCAAATTGAACCTACAACTTTTTACCATCAATAAATAAACAGTAAGAATAACATAACTAAGCTGCCCTTAACTTCTTTTAAGCTTACAATTCGTTTGATCAAACTCTTTAAGGTTTAGATAGGTTATCAAGAAAAAAACTTGAACAATAATATATTTTGTTATCTATTTATAAATAAATTCGAATACGAGAGACATAAACAGCAAGAATAGCATAACTAAAACAATAAATAAAAAAAACAAACTGAACAGATTTGAAAAGAAATAAGACATGAAAATAAAAACATTAACGTTTATATTCTCTAAAATACTCTAACCTTGCCATATAGGTGATTGGGGTATCTGATATGACTCCAAGAGTTTCAGGATTTGCAATAGCAGGACAAATAAGGTAAGTGAAAATTAAATCCGTGCAAATCAAAGTAGCCTGCAGTATTTTAACATTGGATATTATATTCCCAAATGAATATACGAGCACGAGGGTGAAAGAATATTCAAATGTACTGCAATTGATCCTTAGAAATACAAAATGAATGCATGAAGAAAAGAATAATTGGTACCTGCTCACGACTAAGTTTTCTGTGATCAACTAGAACAGTGTAAAGTCGTCGAACAATACAACTCAAGCTTTGAGGAAAGCAAGACATTGCATCTGTTATTGCTGAAAAAAAAAACATTTTAAATAATCGACAATCAAATCATTCGTAATTGATGTATGTCCACATAGGCTCAATGAATTACCTCGGATAAATCGATTTGCAATTGATACCAATTTTGATTCAACATATCGACGATGAACCGTCAATTTTTGCAAAAAAGTAAGTGAATTTTCATCGTCGCCAAAACTGAAAAATCATGCTTGATAAAAGTGTTTGTGCTATTAAAATGACTAAAATTAATGATAGAACATGAAGTAGAAAAGTTTTCGCACATACCGCCTTCTTCTTTCTTCTGCGGGAAAACGTATTAAAGTTTTTGTGGGTTCAATATCCAAAAAAACATCATCTTGAGACAATACGAACATTACCGGATCGTGTAAAGCTGCTGTTAGAAAAATCTAAATCAGAAATATCTCAATTGAGACAAAATGCCTATACAATTTGTGTTTCATTTCATCAGATACAACCTCTACCCTCTGTGAAAATGGAAAGTGACATCAAACCTTTGCGGAATACATCCCTTCAGAGAACAAACGATAAAGTTGACAAAAAGAGACATTTCCTCGGCGCAATAGCAATCGTGGATCGGAATGTGAAGCCAATTGAATATCCAGCAGATGAAAAAGGGTTTCCAATACGCGACGTTCGTCTTCCGGAAAAACAGCACATCCATATAGAAGGCTGTAGACACATGAAACCAGCTCAACGAATGGTGAACCGTTGTTCTGAAATTTTACTCTTGCCTACTTCTACATAGATTTCGACATCAATGAGACTGTTTTTGAGGGTGCACTCGAACATGGCAACTAATATATGGCCATGTCAGCCATTTCAAAATTGAAATGTCCATTTATTCAGTGTAACTGCTATTCTAGTAGTGATACTTAGATTCAGTGAGTAATTATGATACTGAAGTAGTTATCTTCTTACAGAACCAAACAGGCAAGTAATTTTTATGACCTAAGAAATCAAGCTGATACCTTCAGCGTTTGGTCATTAGCATGTAATATTTCAGCTACTAAATTCGGTGAGTTCAACAGTAAGTTCAACAATTCCGTGACGCTGCTGTAATGCTGCCCATCAATACGACGATATCCATCGATAAAACGAGCGGAATCGAATTGCGAAGTTAAAAAGCAACAATTTTCCGGTCGAACATTCGGATGGGAACTGATAAGACGCGACAAAATTGTCTGAAACTTATCTTCTCATAGGATTACTCACAGTTTGTCACAAATGTAGTCATACAAAATTTTTATTCAAGAAAAGTGCAATGTCGTAAATGTAAAACAAAGATCAGCAAATCCAAATGTAGTAGTTCTTATCATACAATACTAAGCAAAAATGAGGTTAAATACGTCAAAAACATCTTAAACTAAGCAGTGACTAATTATATTTTATGCAAAGGAAAAGGTCACTTAGGAAGTCTTACCTGTTCTTGCCTGCATATCCAAGCTAGATGTGCTAATTCACTTTGTGCATTATCAACCTCTTCATTAAGTCGTTGTAAAGTGTCAAGTTCACTTGCTACAAGTAATTTTTCGGATCGTAACCTTTCACAGAGCATTGTGAGTGTATCCAATCCTGCTTGTTCATTACACAAATCCATCTTGATAGTCTTTTCAACTTGAAAAACCACTGAAATTACGAGAGAATAATGCTGAAAACTGAGTTTTTTCATAATCGAAACCTATAAGAAAACTGAAACTTTCATCATTAAAACCAATATACTTCCCGATCAATTGGATAAGAAACCAACTCCACTACGTATAGCTGGCACATAAGATGGAATACCAATCTTTTAAAAGAAATTCAAAAAATGCTCATTTCCAACGTTCCATTGAATATTTTGGCTCATATGTTGATAGTGTAAAATTATGAAAATATAAATTGACATTAGCAATCCAAATCTACCACAATAACATAATAACTAAGTTATTTTATTCTATTGCAAACACTTTCCGTTACAGAAGTTTATGAAATAGATATATACATTTATAGAATCCTCATTCAAATAGAAACGAAAAAATGGGATGCAACGGCTCAAAATAAGATCACTCATTAGATCTTCCAGTACATTGCAAGCCAGTTGCTCTATACTACAATAAAAGCATGAGGATATTCGAAATTCCTAAAATTCAGGCATAATCATGAGCGGCACGTGGCAGCTTCTTATCCGCATTTTTAGCATGATAATCAGATATGCGATGTTCAATTTCTGATCGGAAATGGCGAATCAAACCCTGAAAAATAAATTAATTATGTCATCCCATTAACTTACTTTGCAAGTCAGTAAAGAGAAAAGTTCAATTTTCACTGCCATTACCATGAAACTTCAGTAGTTGTTCTTGTTTGACAGTCATAAACTCACTTGTACAGGCCATGCTGCTGCATCGCCAAGGGCACAAATTGTATGTGCTTCGATTTGTTTACTTATTTCCCACAAACTGTCAATTTCACTGGATTTTGCTTGACCTTTCACAAATCGCCACATCACAGAGTTTAACCAACTGGTCCCTTCTCGGCATGGAGTGCACTGAAAACCTATGTATGCTGCTACTTTTCAAAACGGTTAGAGAACGTATTTTGAGCTCATAACTCAAAAATAGATTTCTACAAGATATACGATCTATACTTCCTCAACTTGAACAAATCCAACTTTTTACATTAACTTCTATTGATTTCCCAAAGGAAATTCGATAAAACATTTGAAATGGTGTCATTTCCTAGGAAGTAGCTGACACTATTATTCAAGAGCTCACATTTACCATACCTGCCCACAACTTTCGTGTTTATAAAAATGTGAAAGTCTGGCAATACACTTCACGATATCAGCTTCCTTATTCATAACAATTACTGCAGCAGTCCCCAAACCAGTTTGTACAGCGATCAAAGCGTCGTAATCCATAAGAACCGTTTCGCAAATACTTCAAAGTAATTTGAATAAGCGCAAAAAGTATATGATCCATATATGCATTATGAATGGAAAACTTAAATAATATTTTACAAATAAAACCAGTCCATATTACAGCAATTAATATGTGAATTAGATTGAATAATTTCATAATACTGCACATTCTAGAAAACGATAGATATAATGGGTATAACATTAACTCCTTAGGAATCAATGGAACTGATGAACCGCCAGGTATTATAGCCATGAGATTGTCCCAACCACCGATTACGCCTCCACAGTGGCGTTCGATTAATTCTTTAAGCGGAATGGACATTTCCTCTTCAACAGTGCACGGATTCACAACATGTCCCGATATACAATAAAGCTGAAAATTTTTACAAAACAAAATTGAATTTACTATTAATTCATTCGTTGATTAATCGGAATTACCTTTGTTCCATGATTGCGTTCACGTCCAAATGAAGAGTACCATGCAGCTCCACGTTTGCATATGGCAGGTGCTGAAGCAATAGTTTCGATATTATTTACCGTAGTTGGACAGCCAAACAAACCGATATCAGCTGGAAATGGTGGTTTCAGACGTGGCTTACCCTGCTTGCCTTCGATGGACTCTATCAAGGCCTGAAAATTTTCTCGCGAATTTCAAGTAGTCCTATGATAATTGCAGAACCAAAAAAAGAATTAGAATAAAAAAAAAACACAAAAATTTATTCAATAAAACCAACTGTTTCTTCACCACATATGTAGGCTCCAGCACCTCGGTGAACAAATACATCGAAGCTATAACCTGTATCGCAGCAGTTTTTGCCAATAAATCCAGCCTATAAGGAAAACAAAATTAAATACCAACATCACAAAGGAAAAAAACGAAAAACTGTTTAATTGATTCTATACAATTTTTATACAGAAATATGTAATGTGACACCGATAGCTGTGTAACCCACTGCTGAAATCTACATCAGCAAACGTTATTTCCAACATCATAGCACTACTTTAGTGCCTTGCAATTTGAAAACAACCCACTACATTCTGGTCTATTAACGTTGACTCCACTTACCAGAACCCACACAAATAACTCATTATACATTTTGAACCGTAACTTAAGTCCTACTTTGTAAGCTTCATGTATAGCTTCTTGTAATATACAAGCTTCATTGTAGAATTCTCCTCTAATGTAGATATACGCAGCACGAGCACCCATTGCATAACCAGCAATCAAAGCACCTTCGATCAATGTATGTGGATGATGACGCATCACTTCACGATCTTTACATGTTCCCGGTTCTCCCTCATCTGCATTTATGCACAAATATTTCGGCCTAAAAGTGCTGTTACTGCTTAACCTCAGCTTTCACTCGTATTTAAAATCCAGAATTTCTATGGTTTGTAAATCTGTTAAGCAACAATAATTTAACCAAACAATAAAGATGTGAATCAACGACTCATTTATAGCTCACTCTTTTCACTATGAAAGCTGGAGCAACCAACCTGCCATCGAATGGACGTTTCATGAAGCTCCACTTCATGCCCGTTGGAAAGCCAGCTCCACCACGACCTCTCATGCCAGACGCACTCATTTCCTTGATAATCCAATCTTGACCTTTTAGTAATACCTCCTTTGTCTTATACCAATCTCCCTAAAGACTATTTTTTTTTATAAATCCCCAAAACTCGAAATTCATTTTCAAATAACTTATCCCATTCAAATATTGAATAAATTACGAGTTTCATTGCCGATTTTAGCCGAAAATCATATCTGCCATAAAGATTTGTAAAAATGCGATCTTCATCTTTCAGTGGACCGAATTTTGTTTTCTGCGGCTTCTTTAAATCATCTTGAGCTGTAGCTGCTATACCACGGACGCTAGTCGAAATAATTCCTGGAAGATATTTTAGTTAACAAAGTTGAGCTCATAAATGCTTTTGAAGATTAATTAGACTTCCGCCATTAACACGTTGGAAACATCACTGAACAGTACCAACTTCGACCATGCAATAGAGAATAACGAACATATCGAGAACTTGAGAAATTCCTTGTAATGTAAGCTTCCTCTTGAGCTTAATGATAACTGTTAATTTTTATGCGAAAATATTAAGCGAAAACAGACTTCGGTGGCTTTCAAATGTTTCACTTTTTCAAAACTAAAGATTCAAAATAAAAAAAAAATTACCAACTCTGCACACGGGTAACTTCGTAATGCAGTTAACGGCCATGGAAGCCATCTAGGAAACGCAACCCAACCTGTGAATCACAATTATTATGAACCAGTATTTATAATAATTACTATTATTTAATAATAATTGACAATTTTTGAAGAATTTCAGCTAATTTTAGCTACAGCATGTTTCATAATTTCTTTTTCAGTGATATAGGTAGAAATAATGACGTAGCCTGCTGTTAGCTGAATTATTATTTATCTTATAAATATAATAATTCCAAAACCACTGCTACAAATTTCAGTGGTTTGCATGTGCCAGTTATATCATATAAGAATAGTATACTAATTTTATAATATATGAATTTAGTCCTACGTGTGGCGAAGTATTTTATTTGAATATTTCGAAATATAACTAAAATAAAACTATTTCTCATAGTATTTTTGAAAGACCGTTTACTTCACATTTTTAAACTCACAGAAACGATTATAAGAGTACACAAGAACGGATGACTATATCGCCAAACGCTGTCTTATCAAGAAAGAATCAACAGTATGCAAACTATTCATATCACAACAAAAAATAAATATAAGAAAGGTGTCATCAAAAACGATCAAAGAATGTATCACACACCACCCTTTCTTTATCGGTGCTTATCCCTGAACACTTAGCGCCTTTTCCACGATAATGGCCGTCGCCACGTAATACCAGTTTCCAATTACGAGGTTTGTGGTTATCGATTGTTGAGGAAGTGAGTTAGGATAGGTTAGAGGGAAGTCGTCTAGGTCAGAACAAGTTAGGTGGGTGGTAGAGGGAGAAAAGATGTCATCTAGATTATGGTAAGTAATTCAGCAGGAACAAGGAAGGTAGTCCAAGAGGAGACGAGTTAATTTAATTAGTGCTATTATCGAGAATTGATTCATCGGTTATCTTTTTATCTTATTGTATGCATATTAACTTGAAGGACTTGTATACGTTGTCATCATGGCATCGTTACAAGCGCATGAAGAAACCGATGATAATCTTTATCCAATTGCTATTCTTATTGATGAACTTCGCAATGAAGACGTACAACTGCGTTTAAATAGTATACGTAAATTATCAACTATTGCGCTTGCGTTAGGTGTTGAACGTACACGTGGCGAATTAATTCAGTTTTTAACGGGTATGTTTTAATGATTTAATCCACTCAAAAGACCAGTATGATTTAGCTGTTACTGAAACTAGTGGTAATATCGTGCTATAAGGACTTAGTTTGAGATGATATGTAGAAAAGTATGGAATTTCGTGAAATCCGTCATTTTATTTTTCTCCTCCAGAATGATAGGAAGTTAGAAGACGAGATTTGTGCGTTTTTTTTTTTTGGATTTATCTGTTATAGACACTATCTACGACGAAGATGAAGTACTTCTTGCTTTGGCCGAACAATTAGGCAACTTCACGCCGTTGGTTGGTGGCCCAGATTATGTCTACTGTTTACTTCCACCACTTGAAAATTTGGCCACTGTTGAGGAAACCGTAGTGCGTGATAAAGC